TGACTACGTTACACCAGCTCTGTCAGGAGGAATGGGCCAAAATTCACCCAACTTATTGTGGGAAGCTTGTGGAAGGCTACCCGACACGTTTGACCCAAGTTATATAATTTAAAGGCAATGCTACCAAATACTAATTGAGTGTATGTAAACTTCTGACCCACTTGGAATGTGATGAAATAAAAAAAAGCTGAAATAAATCATTCTCTCTACTATTATTCTGACATTTCACATTCTTAAAATAAAGTGGTGATCCTAACTGACCTAAGACAGGGAATTTTTACTAGGATTAAATGTCAGGAATTGTGAGAAACTGAGTTTAAATGTATTTGGCTAAGGTGTATGTAAACTTCCGACTTCAACTGTATATGGCCTGGAGGCGTCCGCATGCTTTCCAGCCAAAACAGTTCGGAAGAGTTCGTGCATATATTATGATGAAATTAGCCAAAGTCTACGCCCCTTTTTCAGTGATTGGTCAACATTAGCGATTTTTCAGTGAAGCCTTTGTTGTCATTCAATGAGAGACGACTCGTTTTTATGCACATTTTTCATTGAGAAATACTGCACCAAACATCTTAGTTAGATGTAAAATTGCGCAACCTAAGATCTCCTTGGCAAAAAGGTCAAAATGAATGACTATTGCCACTTTTTTTCTCTCTTTTTTTAAGCGAAGATCTTTTAAGTTGAAATCCCTGAAGTGCTCGGACAGAATGGCAAGAACCTGCGTCTTGGAACAGAGAAATTGAACACAAAACCAGTTTGCTTTACTGTCTGCTCTTTCTGAGCTAAACATAGTTCCAAAAACAACTCTCACATTGAGGGGGACAGAAATGCTCCCTTTTTAAAAAGCATTCTTGTTAGAGAGGGCCTACATTTTGTCTAGCAAATTAACCTTACTTGAGCTTTTTTAATTTCTTACACACTTTCAGCAGGTTAGAGTAGGATATGAATGTGAGCTGCTGAGACACCTCACAATAGGATGTTGTCACCCTGTTTACTCTGTAGACTCACAATGGTCTGCAGACAAAGAAGGACAGGACACTGCATTCCTCTAGCAAGATTATCCCGGAGAAGACAACCAGGCCTTTTCCTTTTGGGAGAAATGTGACAATGCTAAGGCAGAATCCCCGTCACACGATGAATGGCTTTGATGATGGATGTGTTTGATTGGACCTTTTGAGGTCTAGTGCGATGTCTTTCATGTATCGTTGTTCTGTGGTGCCGATTGCTCGTTTTCTGTAGCGATGGGTCAAAACGTTAGTGAAAGACCACATTCTTTCATCCTAACACTCATTCACCCCACTGTGATTCTCTTAGGCTTTTACCAAGGTGATGGAGCTCTGTTTTGTCCATCCAAATGTGTGTGCCCCATCCCAATCCAACCTCTGACATCTGGAATCCTTCTTAGGCAGGGATAAAGGGCTGGCTTAACTCTCTGACCTCAGTGGTGGTAAACATGGTGTAGTGTTTTAAGTGCCCTTGCTCCTTCCATTAGGGTTACATTGAGACTAACAGTCCAATAGCTTCAGATGAGGTTCATGATTTAGAGAGACAAAACCTTCACCTGCATGCTCAGGTTTTTAGGTAGTAAAGTTTGAGTAACTGATTGAGTCGTCAACAGTAGGCGCTAACACAACAATTGTTTCCTGTTGTTACACATAGGTGTTGGAGGATGTCTTCATCTTTGATCGGAACAGCCCATTCCATTCCTCCCAGCCCTCTTTAATTGTGTTGTGACTAGAAATACAGTATGTTAATCCGATTCTACACCCTGGACCCCTAGAGAGTACATTATCTTTCCTGCCCCTCTCCTCCCTTGAGTTCCAGTGCAAATGTTAACAGCTTAACTAGCCTGTGTGTTAGTCTGATCCAGGACCTGCCTGCCTGCAGTCAGCAGCCCATGTCCTCATGGGGGATCACCAGGACGGATGCCTCTTTCCTGTCTGGCTCACTGGCCACCTCTGACCCCCCTCTCAACTCGTAACTCGGCCCTGGTTTAGACACTGGGGTTAGGGGATGGGGGGTAGAGGCTGAGGCACAACTCAAAATGCAGTAACATACAAAGACTGTCTCAACTACATAGTTAAACAGCCGCACAACTAATGGAAAGGGTATTGATGGACAAGCCTCCAAGCAGATGGCCTAGGTTAACTCCTTATGGCCTTTTTTAACCACTTCACCCTTGGCAGAAACCCCTCTCGGACCTAAATGTTGGTTTATGTCTTCATTTGTTACATTTCACCCCCATTGTTCCTGTTATTGACAGCTGGCATACCGGACAGACAGGGAGTCTATCCTGTATTTGGTAAACACCCTGTCCTCTGTCCCTCAGTCCCTCAGTCCCACATGCTCCCTCTCGTCCAGAGGCCCTCTGACCTGATAAAGTGTTCATTTGTTAAGGCTGGAGATGAGGATTGGAGGAGGCATGTAGGGGGAAAAGGGGGCTGCTGTTGGTCAGGCTTTCCGCCTATGATAGAGGATTTATTTTGTTTTGACAATGCTGCTGCCTTATGTCTCAGACAGACAGTCACTGGGCCTGTCCTGCTGCTGCATCATGTCTCAGACAGACAGTCACTGGGCCTGTCCTGCTTCTGCCTCATGTCTCAGATAGACAGACAGACAGACAGACAGTCACTGAGCCTGTCCTGCTGAGCTTTGAGGGGCCAGAAGTTCCCAGCATTACTGTTTAATACTGCTGCGTTAGTGGGAGGAAGCGCGGGGTAAAAGACAAAGCCTCCATACAGCCAGCATAGAGCACTGTTTCTTCTTACAGTGAGGGAAAAAAGTATTTGATCCCCTGCTGATTTAGTACGTTTGCCCACTGACAAAGACATGATCAGTCTATAATTTTAATGGTAGGTTTAGTTGAGCAGTGAGAGACAGAATAACAAAAACGCATGTCAAAAATGTTAAAATTGATTTAAATTTTAATGAGGGAAATAAGTATTTGACCCCTCTGCAAAACATTACTTAGTACTTGGTGGCAAAACACTTGTTGGCAATCACAGAGGTCAGAGGTTTCTTGTAGTTGGCCACCAGGTTTGCACACATCTCAGGAGGGATTTTGTCCCACTCCTCTTTGCAGATCTTCTCCAAGTCATTAAGGTTTCGAGGCTGACGTTTGGCAACTCGAACCTTCAGCTCCCTCCACAGATTTTCTATGGGATTAAGGTCTGGAGACTGGCTAGGCCACTCCAGGACCATAATGTGCTTCTTCTTGAGCCACTCCTTTGTTGCCTTGGCCGTGTATTTTGGGTCATTGTCATGCTGGAATTTCCATCCGCGACACATTTTCAATGCCCAGGCTGAGGGAAGGAGGTTCTCACCCAAGATTTGACGGTATATGGCCCCCTCCATCGTCCCTTTGATGCGGTGAAGTTATCCTGTCCCCTTAGCAGAAAAACACCCCCAAAGCATAATGTTTCCACCTCCATGTTTGACGGTGGGGATGGTGTTCTTGGGGTCATAGGCAGCATTCTTCCTCCTCCAAACACGGCGAGGTGAGTTGATGCCAAAGAGCTCAATTTTGGTCTCATCTGACCACAACACTTGCACCCAGTTCTCCTCTGAATCATTCAGATGTTAATTGGCAAACTTCAGAGGGGCCTGTATATGTGCTTTCTTGAGCAGGGGGACCTTGCGGGCGCTGCAGGATTTCAGTCCTTCACGGCGTAGTGTGTTGCTAATTGTTTTCTAGGTGACTATGGTCCCAGCTGCCTTGAGATCATTGACAAGATCCTCCCGTGTAGTTCTGGGCTGATTCCTCACCGTTCTCATGATTATTGCAACTCCACGAGGTGAGATCTTGCATGGAGCCCCAGGCCGAGGGAGATTGACAGTTCTTTTGTGTTTCTTCCATTTGCAAATAATCGCACCAACTGTTGTCACCTTCTCACGAAGCTGCTTGGCGATGGTCTTGTAGCCCATTCCAGCCTTGTGTAGGTCTACAATCTTGTCCCTGACATCCTTGGAGAGCTCTTTGGTCTTGGCCATGGTGGAGAGTTTGGAATCTGATTGATTGATTGCTTCTGTGGACAGGTGTCTTTTATACAGGTAACAAGCTGAGATTTGGAGCACTCCCTTTAAGAGTGTGCTCCAAATCTCAGCTCGTTACCTGTATAAAAGACACCTGGGAGCCAGAAATCTTTCTGATTGAGAGGGGGTCAAATACTTATTTCCCTCATGAAAATGCAAATCAATTTATAACATTTTTGACATGCGTTTTTCTGGATTTTGTTGTTGTTATTCTGTCTCTCACTGTTCAAATAAACCTACCATTAAAATTATAGACTGATCATTTCTTTGTCAGTGGGCAAACGTACAAAATCAGCAGGGGATCAAATACTTATTTCCCTCACTGTAGTTATTTTGTAGGCGGGCTCAAAGAAGGCCTCTGAAGCCGGGCTGCCAACATTAAAATGTTCCATCTAAACCAATAGGAAGGTTCTGTACAATCTTGTCTCACACACAGAGCAAGTTTGTTGCAGTGAGACCCTTGTGTGGATTGGGAAAGTGTGTAAAAAAAAACAATGATTGCAAAGTTAAACAAACCATACAACTCTATGCACAACGACTACTTTAGCAATTTCCACTGAACATTTTCAAAAACACATTTACTAGAAGAACAGTGCAGATGCAAAGTTTGGTAACAAAATGACTGCACAAACAGAACAAACCGTCATTCTGTTACCAAACGTTGCATCTGATTCTGCACTGTTCATCAAGTAAATGTGTTTTTCAGTGGACATTGTTAAAAGTAGTCAATGTGCATAGAGTTGCATGGTTTGTTTAACTTTTCAATCATTGGTTATTGTTTGACATCCATTTTAAAGTGAAAAATCTGAGTCTCAGCATCATTCTGTTTCCGTGGAATTGCCCTAATGTAAAACTGTGAGTTGGAAATGTACATTGAAAGCCAATCCATTTTCAAGGGCCACCTCTTAAATACCAGGGCAGGAGAGGTGGAATGTGGAAACTGTTCCTGGTTTTGGATTATCGCAGCTGTTGAAGGAGGTCACCCCACATCCCCTAAACATGCCCCAAGCTCCACCCACTGGACTCCTGTGGAGGCCTCCGATTGGCTGCCTTGTGGCAATGGTAATAGAGAGAGTTCTAGTTGAATGAAGTCTGGTTGCTGATCTGACAACAGAGCCCATTGTCCCTGGCCATCAGGCATTAGCAAAGGGTGCACTGCACACACATTGTAAAGGATATGATTGTGACTCATCACAGGATAGGCTTGTCAGCTCTGCTTTTTATTCTTTCACTGAGCCCCTCTGGGTTTATATAACACTAGAAACTTCTCAGAAAGACAAACAAGTTATGAAATTCCCGAACTGTCGTTTTTACGTTATGAATCTGTTTTGGTGCAGAGTAGGGCTGACCTTATTTAGTCGACTGGTCGATTGTTTGGTCGAAAGGCTATTGGTCGACCGAGATTTCTTTGGTCGAGCAGTAGCAAAAAATAAATAATAATAAACCATGGTGTACAAGACACCTGTCTGATTGGCTCCTGTCTGAGTGGACTGATCCATTGTGGAGGCCGTTGGGATGGCACAGTCCATCAGTCTAAGACGTGCTACTGAAATTGTATATGGTTATATTATGTAAGAACAATGGTGCAACACAAATAACAATTATATTATTTTATAACAAATGCGCTTTCTCTCGCGTTGGATAGTGGTTGTTGTCCGCAGTTTAGAAACACATCAGTGTGCTGTTGAATTGGCGCCTTTTCCTAGACCATGTTGCTATGTGCATAATAGCAAAGTTAACCAGCATATTGGTGTTGAGAACAATGCGGCGGAGGCAGCAGCGGAGTTAAGAGACGAGAAAACTGCTTTATAAATCATCCATATATATCTACTGAAATAAGACACATCCTGCTTCTGTTGCCTGTTTGAGTGTTTGGTTGATAGCCTACTGATTCTGTGAGCACCAAGCCTCACGCAACAATTTCACAAATTCTGCTATTTTTTATCTTTGCTATGCTGTAATAAAGGCTTTACTCTTTTTTTCCATTAGACCAGCCTCTGTTATTTATATAATTTATTTAGTGTTGTTTACACTGTTCCAAATTGTCAGACATTTTTTATTTATAATAATAACCCTCCTTTTTCCTTGATCTCCTTGTTATTGTTATTACTATTATTATTATGATCATCATTATAATAATAAGTAATGTCATTATCATTAGTAGGCTTAGTATAGCAGCCTTGTATAACCACATTTACATTACATTTACATTTTAGTCATTTAGCAGACGCTCTTATCCAGAGCGACTTACAGTTAGTGCATACATTATTTTATCGAACCCACAACCCTGGCGTTGCAAACGCCATGCTCTACCAACTGAGCTACAACCACCATCGAGCTGTAGGCCTAAGAGCACATCCTGTTTAGTCTTAATACCGTAACTTACTTAGGCCTATATTTCAATACTTATATAGGCTACTGTATCAATCATTCATGTATTCATTAATGTCATCATACGAGTCATTCATGATGTGAAATGCAATCAAGCATTTTAGTTTTAAAATAAAATAAAGCGACCATTTAAAAATTTGCATAAACAATAAATAGGCCGAAGCAGTTTCATTTCAGAAATTGAATACAGAAATGAATGCGGCTGCAGCAGGGAGGAGAGAGAGACAACGAGTGCTAGTCACACAGTCACTCGCTGTCTCTTCTTTTTTTTTACACAGCGCAGCAAGTTTGTGCCAGGCGGCACAATCAAATCAATTGCGGCCTCTAGTCATTTGTGCCTTCATTATTTCATAAAACAGTTTGCTTAAAGTATCAGAAAGCTCAGTGCATATAGTTGATTTGATTAAAACACATAGGATGTGTCTATATATGGAAAAATACACATTTGGACATTTCGACCAATCGATTAGTCGAAAGAACAGACGACTCTTGGTCGACCAATAATAGTTTTCTACACTTCTGAAGAGAACTGACAGACATTGTATAGACTGCAAAAGACAAGTTGTGGAATGTCCACTTTGGGCTGGACCATTGATTTGGAACAGACAGAACCCAGCTCCAATTATGACACACCTAATGGCTCCCGGACAGAAAATAAAAATAAATAAATAATAAAAAAGCAGACAGTCAGATTTGGAGGTGTGCAGTATCACTCACAGGTGATACTACAGTGATTTAAGATCACTTAGTAGAAAGCAGGTGTTATATTCCCTCTCCAAGGAATGTGTGCATTTTATTCTGGGACTACTCAGTCATCATGGCCCTTGTGGAGGTGACCCTGCAGAGTGGAAGCATGTACAGTACAGGCTCCTGGCCTCTCCCTGCTAACCAGGCAGTATGTGGCACCAGGGCTGATGGCCTTGCTGGGGCTTAAAAGTGCTTTACCTTTCTTCCCCTCCTTGGCATCCTGCCCTCCCTCCCTTGCTCCGTGCCTGCACGCCTCTCTCCTGTGCCTGATCTGATCTTTTAACACAAGGCCAGCTTTGTCATGCCTGACATATCCTCCATGAAAAATAACCCCAGCACTGCCTCCCATGAACAACTGCTGTTGAGCCCCTTCAGGGAGGGAGGACGGGGGGGGGGGGGCAAGAAAACTAAGAGTGTGCAAAGCTGTCATGAAGGCAAAGGGTGGCTACTTTGAAGAATCTCAAACATAAAATATATTTTGATTTATTTAACACTTTTTTGGTTACTACATGATTCCATATGTGTTATTTCATAGTTTTGATGTCCTAAGAGTGTGCAAAGCTGTCATGAAGGCAAAGGGTGGCTACTTTGAAGAATCTCAAACATAAAATTTATTTAACACTTTTTTGGTTACTACATGATTCCATATGTGTTATTTCATAGTTTTGATGTCTTCACTATTATTCTACAATGTAGAAAATAGTAAAAATAAAGAAAAACCCTGGAATGAGTAGGTATGTCTAAACTTTTGACTAGTACTGTATATCACATTTTAAAGAGGCAGACAGCATGCACCCTTCATGGTCTGATTTTAAGCACATTGCTGTTCGGTCTACAGAAAAAGGTAGCCAAGCATCATGTTTTAATCCTGCCATTTATTGTGTTACCATGCCAGTTGTTGCGGAGCCATCTATAATTGATTGGGGATTCAGTGGTGTTCGCAGGTGTTAAACATGCAATACACACACACACACACACACACACACACACACACACACACACACACACACACACACACACACACACACACACACACACACACACCAATTGTGCCGTCGGTTTATGTGACCACTGCCACTGGTGGAATGGTTGGAATTAGAGGTGACAAACAATAGAAGCAAAGAATGTGTGTGACAGGTGCAGAGCAGTTCCAAGTCATCTGAAACAGGTGCACTCTCCCCTCTCCCTTCAATTGTTCTCTCAAGCCTAGATGTGGGCTCCTGCCAGTATCTGTCCAGTATGTTGACCCAAATACTCTATCCTATTCCTAACTCAGAAACAGAGTTTAGCTAGTTGTTAGAACTTTCATCAAACATCACTCTAAATGTAATTCATAACCAGTAGCCTACATGTGACTCATATCCATACATTACATATATAATCTTTGTTTACTTAAGCTTTTAGCTCCCTTGCGTTCAATGCAGAGAAATTGATATGCATTTTTACATTTACATTTTAGTCATTTTAGCAGACGCTCTTATCCAGAGCGACTTACAGTTAGTGAATACATATTTATTTTTTATACTGGCCCCCCGTGGGAATTGAACCCACATCCCTGGCGTTGCAAACGCCATGCTCTATCAACTGAGCTACATCCCTGCCGGCCATTCCCTCCCCTACCCTGGACGACGCTGGGCCAATTGTGCGACGCCCATGAGTCTCCCGGTCGCGGCCGGCTGCGACAGAGCCTGGATTCGAACCAGGATCTCTAGTGGCACAGTTAGCACTGCGATGCAGTGTGTTTTGGGGGCCCCCTATCTCTAGCACACAGTGTACACTACAGGGGTCATGGTACAGTCTGAATTACACACTGCTAATGGAGCTACTGCAGAGCACACTCAGTCCATGTCTTTACAATACATTACAATGTTTTACAATATTTGGATAAGCACGTTGCCTGGCAGCTATGTTGTATAGACTTTGAACGTAATACATAATCAAACAGAAGGCAGCCTTTGCTAGATTATTACTCCTATTATATTGAGCTGCATGCCACTGCTAGCACGGCTGGGCTGGATGGCATCATATAAGAGTGAGGTCTTTATATTGTCTGATTCTAGCCTCGGACACATTTCCCCTAGATCCCTGCAACCTGTTTTGCAAGGTGAGCAGAGATGATTTTAACTCAGAATTTCTGAGATTGTTATTTTTAAATAGCAGATGTGTAAATACACTCAGGAGGACTTAGATAGTTTGGCAATTTTGGCTTGTGCTGGCAGATGGTGCGCTAGGTTAGCTAAATAAAAGACAGCCCCTGTTTGAAACATCAGCCTGGGCCGGTCCTCAGGAGACCAGGCACAGAGTCTCTCTCAGAATAGCCTGTTGTTAGGCGAGGTTAGAGGTTGATTTACAAGGGCGTAAACGTTAAAGGATAAGTGGTTGTTTTTTTACAACCAAATCTCTATTTTTGATGTAAATGGAATGTTATAGAAGGGTCCTGTCACGCCCTGACTCAGGGGACGTTTATTTGTTGAGTCAGGGTGTGTATATTCCATGTTGTGTTGTTTCTATGGTGTAGTATCTGGTATGTCTATTTCTATGTTGGCCGGGGTGGTTCCCAGTCAGAGGCAGCTGTTGCTCGTTGTCTCTGATTGGGGACCATACTTAGGTAGCCTTTTGGCACCTGTTAGTTGTGGGATCTTGTTCCGTATAGGTTTGTTGTGTGTACCTTAAGACTTCACGTATCGTTTGTTTGTTGTTTTGTCGTGTTTGCACAGTTGTAATAAACATGTACGCTTATCACGCTGCGCCTTGGTTCGACCAATCTTTAAACGATCGTGACAGAAGATCCCACCAAATGAGGACCAAGCAGCGTGTCCAGGAGCAGACAACCTGGACCTGGGAGGAGATCCTGGACGGGAAGGGATCCTGGACTTGGGAGGAGATTCAGGCCGGAATGGATCGCCGTCCTTGGGAGGAGACAGTGGAGGCGCGCTATAGAGAGGAGCAGCGGCAACGCAGAAGGTGCCGGCCGAGGAGGAAGGCCGAGAGACAGCCCCAAGAAAAAAATTTGGGGGGGCTAAAAGGGTGGTTGGCGGAGCCTAGTGTTAGAGCAGAGCCAACTCCCCGTACTCATGCAAGGAAGCGTGTGACTGGGCAGGCTCCGTGTTATGCGGAGCTACGTACTGTGCCGCGAGTGTTCCGGCACAGTCCTGTACGTCCTGTGCTAGCACCACGCACGTGTCGTGCGAAGATGGGCATTCAGCCAGGACGGGGTGTGCCGGCTCAACGCTCGTGGTCTCCAGTACGCCTCCTCGGTCCCGTATATCCTGCGCCGGTGCTACGTACTGTATCGCCAGTACGCGTGCACAGCCCCGTACGTCCTGTGCTAATGCCTCACACATATTGTGTGGAAGTAGGCATCCAGCCAGGACGGGTTGTGTCAGCTCTCCGCTCCACACCTCCAGTCCGCCTCCACAGTCCGGTACGGCCCGTTCCTGCTCCCCGCACCAAGCCAGTGGTGCATGTTCCCAGTCCGGCCCGGCCCGTTCCTGCTCCCCGCACCAAGCCAGTGGTGCGTGTTTCCAGTCCGGCCCGGCCCGTTCCTGCTCCCCGCACCAAGCCAGTGGTGCGTGTTCCCAGTCCGGCCCGGCCCGTTCCTGTCCCTCGCACCAAGCCAGTGGTGCGCTTCTCCAGCCCGGTCCGGCCTGTTCCTGTCCCTCGCACCAAGCCAGTGGTGCGCGTCGACAGCCCGGCCCGGCCTGTTCCTGCCCCTCGCACCAAGCCAGTGGTGCGCGTCGCCAGACCGGCACGGCCTGTTCCTGCCCCTCGCACCAAGCCAGTGGTGCGCGTCGCCAGCCCGGTCCGGCCTGTTCCTGCCCCTCGCACCAAGCCAGTGGTGCGCGTTGCCAGCCCGGTCCGGCCTGTTCCTGTTCCTGTCCCTCGCACCAATTTTTTTGACATTTGCATAAGTATTCAGACCCTTTACTTAGTACTTTGTTGAAGCACCTTTGGCAGCGATTACAGCCTTGAGTCTTCTTGGGTATGACGCTTGGCACACCTGTATTTGGGGAGTTTCTCCCATTCTTCTCTGCAGATCCTCTCAAACTCTGTCAGGTTGGATGGGGAGCGTCGCTGCACAGCTATTTTTAGGTCTCTCCAGAGATGTTAGATTGGGTTCAAGTCCGGGCTCTGGCTGGGCCACTCAAGGACATTCTGAGACTTGTCCGGAAGCCACTCCTACGTTGTCTTGGCTGTGTGCTTAGGGTCATTGTACTGTTGGAAGGTAAACCTTCGCCCCAGTCTGAGGTCCTGAGCGCTCTGGAGCAGGTTTTCATCAAGGTTCTCTCTGTACTTTGCTCCGTTCATCTTTCCCTCGATCCTGAATAGTCTCCCAGTCCCTGCCCCCGAAAAACATCCCCACAGAATGACGCTGCCACCAACATGCTTCACCGTAAGGATAGTGCCAGGTTTCCTCCAGACTTGACGCTTGCCATTCAGGCCAAAGAGTTCAATCTTTTTCATCAGACCAGAGAATCTTGTTTTTCATGGTCTGAGAGTCCTTTAGGTGCCTTTTTGGCAAACTCCAAGCGGGCTGTCATTTGCCTTTTTACTGAAGAGTGGCTTCCGTCTGGCCACTCTACAATAAAGGCCTGCTTGGTGGAGTGCTGCAGAGATGGTTGTCCTTCTGGAAGGTTCTCCCATATCCACAGAGGAACTCTGGAAGTCTGTCAGAGTAACCATCGGGATCTTGGTCACCTCCCTGACCAAGGCCCTTCTCCCCCGATTGCTCAGTTTGGCCGGGCGGCCAGCTCTAGGAAGAGTCTTGGTGGTTCCAAACTTCTTCCATTTAAGAATGATGGCGGCCACTGTGTTCTTGGGGACCTTCAATGCTGCAGAAATGTTTTGGTACCCTTCCCCAGATCTGTGCCTCGACACAATCCTGTCTCGTAGCTCTACGGACAATTCCTTTGACCTCATAGACAGGTGTGTGCATTTCCAAAACATTTGTATTTAATTTTTTATTTAACCTTTATTTCACTAGGCAAGTCGGTTAAGAACAAATTCTTATTTACAATAATGGCCTTTTATAGACAGGTGTGTGCATTTCCAAATCATGTCCAATCAGTTGAATTTACCACAGGTGGACTCCAATCAAGTTGTAGAAATATCTCAAGGGATGATCAATGGAAACAGGATGCACCTGAGCTCAATTTCGAGTCTCATAGCAAAGGGTCTGAATACTTATATAAATAAGGTATTTTTAAAAAATTTAAAAAATCTCTTTTCGCTTTGTCATTATGTGGTATTGTGTGTAGATTGATGAGGAAAATGTTGTATTTAATCAATTTTAGAGTAAGGCTGTAACGTAACAAAATGTGGAAAAAGTAAAGGGGTCTGAATACTTTCTGAATTCACTGAACTACTGGACTACTGGTATCGTTTTAAAATTGAGAACATATAGCTGAACAATATGTAAACAATGGGTGAGTTAAGCTATTTTCTGCTTCAGATACCACAATGTCAAGGGGTGCATTGCAAATGCCCATAGGGCTAAATTCCACTGTTTCCCAACTACGGTCCTCGAGTACCCCCAACAGTACGGTTTATTGTAGCCTCGGACAAACACACCTGATTCAACTTGTCAACTAGTCATCAGGCCCTCGGAGTTGAATCAGGTATGTTTGTCCGGGGCTACAACAAAGATGTCTGTTGTTGGGGATACTCAAGGACTGGAGTTGGGAACCACTGCTGTAGGCCTATTGCTGCATTGGCATTGCATGCCATTATCAGCTGCAAAATGGGTTCACATGGCTGATATCCTGAAAAGATTGTGACAATCAAATAAAACTAATTGGAGAGCTTATGACTGAACAGAAAGGTCATGTTCATTTGAAAATACAACACAGAAATAGACAAATTAGAGACAGATTTCCTTCCCCTCTATATTGCAGGATTGTGATCTGTGATTAATCAACATTGACACTAGTTCATCTTGAATAATAGTCAGGCTAACAATTTAAAACAAGTTTAAACACTTAACTTCAAAGAATCAACACTTCAATATAATTTCAAAGTGTACAGGTAAGCTAACTCATACTGTATGTAAAGGTTAGACATTTTAGTAACAAGTAGGCTATTATTACTAAAGCATAATTTCAGGTGTACAAAATAAAGTCAACACCAGAGGTGGCCAACCTTGCTCCACTGATCCCTGAGGGGAGCAGACTTCTTTTCCAGTCCAGCAATAGCACACTTTTTAATTTTTTAGCAGACACTCTTATCCAGAGCGACTTACAGGAGCAATTAGGGTTAAGTGCCTTGCTCAAGGGCACATCGACAGATTTTTCACCTAGTCGGCTCAGGGCTTAGAACCAGCGACCTTTCGGTTACTGGCACAACGCTCTTAACCACTAAGCTACCTGCCGCCCACACTTGATTATTAACTAATTAGGTTTGATACATTGAATCAGGTGTCATTGTGCTGGGCTCGAACAGAAGCCTGCACACCCTGCAGGGTTGGCCTGCTGTTGTCATAATAGGTTTATAGATTGTGTGTGACTTTAAAACTTTTTTTCACAAGATGTGCTAACATACGTACACATACGGTAGATATACAAAAGTATGTGGACACCCCTTCAAATTAGTGGAATCGGCTGTTTCAGCCATACCCGTTGCTGACAGGTGTATACAATCAAGCACACAGCCATGCAATCTCCATAGACAAACATTGGCAGTAGAATGGCCTTACTGAAGAGCTCTGACTTTCAACATGGCACCGTCATAGGATGCCTCCTTTCCAACAAGTCAGTTCGTCAAATTTCTACCCTGCTAGAGCTGCCCCGGTCAACTGTAAGTGCTGTTATTGTGAAGTGGGAACGTCTAGGAGCAACAACGGCCACACAAGCTCACAGAACGGGACCATTGAGTGCTGAAGGGCGTAGCGCGTAAAAATTGCCTCCTCAGTTGCAACACTCACTACTGAGTTCCAAACTGCCTCTGGAAGCAATGTCAGCACAAGAACTGTTCGTCGGGAGCTTCATGAAATGGGTTTCCATGGCCAAGCAGCCACACACAAGCCTAAGATCACCATGCGCAATGCCAAATGTCGGCTGGAGTGGTGTAAAGCTCGCCGCCATTGGACTCTGGAGTAGTGGAAACGCTCTCTCTGGAGTGATGAATCACGCTTCACCATCTGGCAGTCCGACGGACTAATCTGGGTTTGGCGGATGCCAGGAGAATGCTACCTCCCCCAATGCATAGTGGCGGATGCCAGGAGAATGCTACCTCCCCCAATGCATAGTTCCAACTGTAAAGTTTGGTGGAGGAGGAATAATGGTCTGGGGCTGTTTTTCATGGTTCGGGCTAGGCCCCTTCATTCCAGTGAAGGGAAATCTTAACGCTACAGCATACAATGACATTCTAGACGATTCTGTGCTTCCAACTTTGTGGCAACAGTTTGAGGAAGGACCTTTCCTGTTTCAGCATGACAATGCCCCCGTGCACAAAGCGAGGTCCATACAGAAATGCTTTGTCGAGATTGGTGTGGAAAATCTTGACTGGCCTGCACAGAGCCCTGACCTCAACCCCATTGAACACCTTGGGATGAATTGGAACGATGACTGCGAGCCAGGCCTAATCGCCCAACATCAGTACCCGACCTCACTAATGCTCTTGTGGCTGAATGGAAGCAAGTCCCCGCAGCAATGTTCCAACATCTAGCGGAAAGCCTTCCCAGAAGAGTAGAGGCTGTTATAGCAGCAAAGGGGGGACCAACTCCATATTAATGCCCATGATCTTGGAATAAGATGTTCGACGAGCAGGTGTCCACATACATTTGGTCATGTAGTGTACCTAGCTACAAATGCATTTGGAGTTACAACGATAAATACAGCAAGATGCCTAGCTAACCATATTTAATTCACTTACATAACTTTACATACTAAATAATGGGCAATCTTCCTGAAGTTTCGGTGGTAGCAAAACGCAGCCAGCCATGTGGACGATTGGAGGACTTCCAACAACAGACTGATTTTGGTCTTCCAACATGATGCCTGGTGCGGTTGATAGGTGATTTATGACGCAACTGTAAGCCCTCTATGAGTTTACCAGTCAAATTGACAGGGTTAGAGGTTCCAAGCCTGTTCTATTCATTCTATTTCTATGTGTGCTGCTGCTGCATTGTGGGGAGTGTTGCCTAGGCTACAACACCTTGCTTGTTTCAGCAAGGAACAACAAAGTTTCATAGGTTGTTAAGAGTCCATGTTACGCCAGAAACAGGCTCAACCACACAAATGCCTGGCCGTTCAGTCTTCAGTCAGCTGTTCATTCCACATAAACATTAATAATAAGTATTATTATTTTTCTTTACGGTTATTTAATTTTCATGACGGTCTTCATCCTTAACCGTCGGTTACACGCTTGTACGATAATTGTGCCAGCCCTAGTTATGCCCCATTGGTTTCGATTTCTGTTGACTTGAAGCAGCACTGTCAGTGAATCAGACATGCCACACTAGCATTGGAACGATAAGTTCCACTTCAGCCGTTAGCAGACTTATCTGCCTTTTACGTCAGCTTGTATGGCTCCTGTTAGCCCTGTACAGAACCCATTGTGTATAGGCTCCTGTCTGCTCAGTGCGCTGTGACTGAGGTACTTGGAAGAAAACCGTTTCTTCACAATAGTTTATCGCTCTGAGGCAATCAATTTAAGCTGGACTGGAATTTGAGTTCGATTGAAAACCAAACCTAAACAATGACAGAACTGTGTGTTGCCCTATTTTTTGACAATGCAATGTCCACTCCTATGTTTTGCACTGCTGGGAAAATTGCCATTTACACTTTGGGCTGTTTTAAAACAATGTAGAAGATACCATGAGCAAAATGCTGTTGTTCTGCCTTCTGGGAAAACGCCATTCAACATATCCAAGTTATTTTGGGACCAAACTGTAAATTGTGGGTGATAGATAAAGTTATTATTCAGAATAACTGACACACAAGGGCTAGGAGAAACAGGATAGAGGCGATAGTCGGTGTGTGTGTGTGTGTGTGTGTGTGTGTGTGTGTGTGTGTGTGTGTGTGTGTGTGTGTGTGTGTGTGTGTGTGTGTGTGTGTGTGTGTGTGTGTGTGTGTGTGTGTGTGTGTGTGTGTGTGTGTGTGTGTGTGTGCATGCGCACGTTGGTCTTTTGGTTTCGGTGTAGCGCTCTGCTCTGTCGCGTGTTCTCTGTTTGGAGAGGTGTTTTTCTATTTTACTTATTTTGAGTCATCCTAGAATAACCATGTGCAGACGTCTCCTTGACCCAGATGGGGGACAAAGGGCCAGTGTGCCTTCCATGGAGAAGAGGGAATGTGTTATCAGATCTAGAGAATAGTAAGCGCAAAACACCAGCATTATGAGGACATATTTTACCATTTTCTCTTAAGCACTGTCTTACCTCTGGCATAGTAGATGTATTGTGTCTAGGCTTCAAATACAGTATTGTCCGTTGTGTCGGCTTAAGTGCCTCTCTCAGGAGTATAACCATAGCACTCTCCCAATACATCATGACTGCTTCAATTTAGAATACGTTATCCTGAAGAAAATCAGGTGTCACACGAGTACGTTTAATGAGTTAATTTTAGATCGTTATAAAACATTTAGAGTAGTGTTTAACTTTACTGTGGTTATGCAGACTGCGAGACACTGGTTCAGCAAGACACTGGTTCCACTTTGTGTCCTAACTACTGTTTATTTACCCAGGAGGAAAGGCCCTTATGCAACCACTATACCCCATGCTGCTCCCAGGGCCAGATTAATGCAGGAGCTTACTGGGGCTGAATCCCCTTGGCCCAGGCCCGTGGGGGGACCAATAAGCAGCAAAAAAATAAAGGAAATATATACAGTATAAATGTAATATATATACATTTTCTTATCATACTGCAACTGCCAACCACAGGAGTATTCAGGAGCCCGCTCTCAATGAGGCAGCCTGCTGCCGCTCTGCTAATCGTCAAATTGGGAAGGAGAGGAGGTAGGGGTAACTGGGGGTCCCTGCCTTGATTGGGTAACTGATTAATAGAAAATAAAATAAAATATAAACTGCATAATAAATAAAGGTCAAGAGCCATGCGTCCTCCGAAACCGCACTGCTTCTTGACAACACTGCTCGCTTAACCCAGAAGCCAGCCGCACCAATGTGCCAATGTGAAACAGCGTCCAGCTGTTGACCGAAGTCAGCTTGCAGGCGCCCGGCCCACCACAAGGAGTCGCTAGAGCGCTATGGGACAAGGAAATCCCAGCCAGTCAAACCCTCCCTTAATCTGAACGACACTGGGCCAATTGTACGCCGCCTCATGGGTCTCTCGGTCACGGACAGCTGTGACACAGCCTGGGATCGAACCCAGATCTGTAGTGATGCCTCAAGCACTGCGATGCAGTGCCTTAGACCGCTGCGCCACTCGGGAGGCCTCATGGATTACATTTTTATCACGAGCACAATTAGGTAACTGCCAAAATAAAGGAAACCCACACCATAACATATTATTTGTATCCTTCATTGTTTCCTTTATTTTGGCAGTTACCGGTTGCCTATGGTCGGGAAGGCTGCAATTTGGCCAGCATGTGTCCCGGGGCCTATGATTTCTTTATTTGGCCCTGGTTGCTCCTACACAACTGTGGCCTTCACACATGACCTTTAACCCCTGGTTTCCTGTCAGCACGTTCGCGTTGCAGCGTCTTGTTCACGTCTCTCCGCTGCTGTGTTTTCTCTCTCTGTTTTTTCTCTCTCATTACAATAATGTAATGGCAAACACTTGACTTTGACAGGATGGAATCCAGAGTGAAATGCTCTTCTTGCTGCTGTAAGGGAAAGCCTCTATGGGGGACTGGGAGCTGAAGGGTGGGGTGTGTGGAATAGGACTATTGACTGCTTGGAAGGCCCGTGATGATACCAGTATCGTGATACTCGTCAGCATCGTGGCGAGGAAACAAAACACAAAGCGGACTGAACTTATTTAGGAAACAGCCCTAATGTTGGAAACAAGCATCATTATGTTGTCATCCAGAGTCACATTTATTTATTTTCCAAGCTATAGCACACAATATTTTACATACAGCAGGTTTTTAAAGGACCAAAGAGTTTGGTCTGCTTTGTGTTTTCATTTTTTTCATGAAAAATATATTGCGATACTGGTATCACAGCCCTACTGCTTAGGCCTCCAGTTTGACTATACCTTCATTACCACCCCTTAAGCTGGTGATCCATCAGTGTAAATATTGTCCCCTCCTCGACTGAAACAAGCCTACCCATGGTGCCTCACTGCAGGACTCTTTTGGGATCAGCTAGACTTGTAAACGTTACCCCCTCATCATGCCCATCCCTCATGACCCAAACACTCTCTCACTCTCTCTTTCTCTCTCTCTCTCTTTCTCCCTCGCTCTCTCTCTCCGACTCACACACTTACTCTCGCACTCACATAGTGATGTATGTGGACACTTAAATACTTTCACTGCAGATACTCAGAAGAACAGGGCTAAGTTACAGATAAGATACAGATGTATTTGTCTCTCTTTCTTGAAGAGGTTGGTCATATTATAGTCATATTCTGTGACACTGAATTATGTGTTCTTGTTCACAGTGGGAGCCAGATGGACAGTAGAGACGCACACACTGACAGTGACAGCACACAGGCAGGGGTGGTTTAGAGGGCCTCTGTCCCCCTGTATGTTCACCTGAATGTGGCTGAAGAACAGGGCAATACATAGATTGTTTCCAAGGTGCTTTATGCCGAATGCAAAGGTAGTACTGTCAACTTGGCTGGCACTCTGCTCTTCTGAGGCTATTTTGAGGCTGGGGGTGCAGGGGACTTACTTGGCAGGATCACAAGGAACAAATGTGGGCATGTGACAGGCACTGTGGGCTGTGCTGGACACCCTGCGCCCCCTCTCTACCACAGGTACCCTGGACATGTGTCCCAAACTGGAGGGAAAGGGAAAGAGACCCTGTGTCCATGAACTGGGAGTGCAATTCCTATCTCTACCTTCTGCCTCCCCTCCTCACCAACCCCTCCTTCTGCCCCTCCTCCTCACCAACCCCTCCTTCTGCCTCCCCTCCTCACCAACCCCTCCTTCTGCCTCCCCTCCTCACCAACCCCTCCTTCTGCCTCCACTCCTCACCAACCCCTCCTTCTGCCTCCACTCCTCACCAACCCCTCCTTCTGCCTCCACGCCTCACCAGCCCCCAGCCTGGTTCTCAGCCCAGTAGAAGGACACAGGCTCCGGCTGGCTGTGGTCCCTCATGGATTCATTGGCACACTTAAAGCTGCTCTGCATCAGGAAACTAGATCATAACATCATCACACTCATCATCAAACATCAGAATGAGCTGTATCACTTTTCAGTTAAGTCAGGAACCCATTTTGATTCAATCTGACAGGTTACCCCCTTCTCAATGACACATTCCTCTGTACCCTGTCTGTGTGTATGTGGGCCAGTCTCTCCCCCTCCCCACCCCGGCCCTCTGTGTTCTGATGAGTTAGCTGCTAGTGTTCCTCACGCTATGCCCTGTGTGATGCTGCTGGAGAGGATAGTGCTCTCCAGGCCTGCTGGCTGCCGGCTGTGGTCCTAGTGCCGTACTGAGTGTGTCCACCTGTCCCTTAGTCAGATTACAGACACACAGTGCTACTCCTGCTGCTCCTCTGCCCACCAGAGGGATGACATCACTGCTGAATCAGCGTTCTATAGCACTGTCTCACACACAGATGGACACGTGTTGTGGTCGCAAACATTCATACTCTCCATATGGGTCATGTGAGGGTGTTTGCAGTCCGTGTTTGACTGTTTAAGTTGTGTACAGGTTGTTTGTTGGATGAGCAACATGTAACAGGGATGGTCATTTCAGTAGGATTTCCAGACCGAACCAATTGTTTGTGTTATTAATGGCTTCAAAGCTGTTTGCCTCTTCCTCGTTGTTCTCAGTCCTAACAGCAATATTTCCTGTGTCTGTTTTCAGTCCTGATTGGGTGGAGATCCTGGAACCACGCTCTCAGGAGCGCATGTACCTGAACCTGGCCACCGGCGAATGCGGCTGGGACCCTCCCATGGGCATCCCTGTTCGTCAGGCCGACGGTAACCAGTGGTGGGAGCTCTTTGACCCCCAGAGCGGCCGCTTTTACTACTACAATTCCATGGGACGGCGGACTGTCTGGCACCGACCCCAGGGGGGTGACATAGTGCCCCTGTCTCAGCTACAGGCTATGAAGCACTGTTCTGAGGCCAAGCGGGCTGGGGAGAGCGGAGAAAGGCACCATGGGGCAGGAAGCCTGGTCAGTACAGGGAGCCAGGGACGCCGCACCCCTCTCTCAGAGCACCATGGGGCAGGGAGCCAGGGGCGCCGCACTTCTCTCCCAGAGCAGGAGAGCTCCGTCTCCAAAACCCCTGAGACCCCCAGCGAGACCACGGACATGAGAACAGCTCAGGGAGACAGCAGCTCGGATGGAAGCAAGGCGTCACTGAAGTACGTCTGATCTGTCTGTTTTACTGTTGAATCAAATTACTGTTGATAGGGAGGACGTAGATGTACTTAAAAATTAGAGGATTATATTTAAGTAAAGAGGACAGGGTAATAGCAAAAAACGGATCGTTATCCCACCATGTGGCATATTGACTTTGGGCATGAGAAATTGTTGGATTATTTAGACTTTTGACCAGTAAGACTATTTCATTCTCACTTATCTTGACATTCCACATGCCACATATTTCCATAATTTTCTCTGTGAACCACACCGCGGCCGTGTAAAGTAAATTGCTACCAAATGCAAAGACGAGTGCAGTCATAAAGTACATGACATTCCCTCTCCCCTCACATTGGTAGAAAGACCCCTAACAGTAAGAGCCATTCAAAGACCCCATCATGTGCTCAGCGCTGTGGCAGCACACACAGTCCAAACCAGCATCTCCCCTTCAGAGGCAGATTCCAGACATGCCAGCTCTATTTCCCCTGGCCCGCGGCCACTAGTGCCGTCTCAGTGCCCCTGTGTGCTGCTCACTTCCGCTCTACTCCTCTCCGGCCCCATATACACTAATTTAATTTTCCTAAAACAACCCAAGGCCCCTCTTCATCAAAGACCAATGGGGGTTTCTGGTGGGGGAAGCCAAATCACACATGACTGAGGTCCTCTTTAATATCGTTTCAGAGAAGAGATGTGAAAGAGTGTTGTCTGTTCTTGGGTAATAACACGCAGAACCTCTATATTCCAGTTAGTTCTAAACAGGAGACCCTGCTGTTCCTAGAGGTGTTTGTGTCTCATCAGTTGCCCCTCTGCTCTCTGCCTGGGTCCTGGGTCTATCCTCAGCGATGTGGAGGACCTCACCTCACCGGAGCCAGCAGGAGTCTCCTACCCTCTGAGCTCCGACCCTGATTATGTAAGGTAGAAGGGAAACTAATTGTTCACCACGCTCTGTCAGAGGACCCTGGTGGAGGTACAGCCTACTTGACTGCTTGACATTCCGTCCTTCAGAATGGTTTACGCCACAGGGATCTCCACCACTCTGCGGTCATCCCTAAAGACTAAACTTTTCCCAGAAGTCTCCATGTCTCCCCAAAACAATGGGCAGCTGTGTCTCTGAGTGGAACTCTTCTGGGCTCTGCATCCCACTTAGCCATATGGTGGTTTTCACTGGGCTTTTAATGACATACAGTTGAAGTCAGAAGTTTACATACACTTAGGTTGGCGTTATTAAAACTCGTTTTTCAACCACTACACAAATTTCTTGTTAACAAACTATAGTTTTGGCAAGTCGGTTAGGACATCGACTTTGTGCATGACACAAGTAATTTTTCCAACAATTGTTTACAGACAAATTGTTTCACTTATAATTCACTGTATCACAATTCCAGTGGGTCAGAAGTTTACATACACTAAGTTGACTGTGCCTTTAAACAGCTTGGAAAATTCCAGAAAATGGTATCATGGCTTTAGAAGCTTCTGAAAGGCTAATTGACATCATTTGAGTCAATTGGAGGTGTACCTGTGGATGTATTTCAAGGACTACCTTCAAACTCAGTACCTCTTTGTTTGACATCAACAGGAAATCAAAAGAAATCAGCCAAGACCTCAGAAAAAAAATTGTAGACCTCCACAAGTCTGGTTCATCCTTGGGAGCAATTTCCAAACGCCTGAAGGTACCACGTTCATCTGTACAAACAATAGTACGCAAGTATAAACACCATGGGACCACACAGCCATCAGGAAGGAGACGCGTTCTGTCTCCTAGAGATGAACGTACTTTGGTGCGAAAAGTGCAAATCAATCCCAGAACAACAGCAAAGGACCTTGTGAAGATGCTGGAGGAAACAGGTACAAAAGTATCTACAGTGGTGTGAAAAATGTTTGCCCCCTTCCTGATTTCTTATTTGTTTGCATGTTTTTCACACTTAAATGTTTCAGATCAAACAAATTTAAATATTAGTCAAAGATAACACAAGTAAACACAAAATGCAGTTTTGAAATGAAGGTTGTTATTATTAAGGGAAAACAAAATCCAAACCCACATGGCCCTGTGTGAAAAAGTGATTGCCCCCTACAACCTAATAACTGGTTGGGCCACCCTTAGCAATCAAGCGTTTGCAATAACTTGCAATGAGTCTTTTACAGCGCGGTGGAGGAATTTTGGCCCACTCATCTTTGCAGAATTGTTGTAATTCAGCCACATTGGAGGGTTTTCGAGCATGAACTGCCTTTTTAAGGTCATGCCACAGCATCTCAATAGGATTCAGGTCAGGACATTGACTAGGCCACTCCAAAGTCTTCATTTTGTTTTTCTTCAGCCATTCAGAGGTGGACTTGCTGGTGTGTTTTGGATCATTGTTCTGCTGCAGAACCCAAGTTCGCTTCAGCTTGAGGTCACGAACAGATGGCCGGACATTCTCCTTCAGGATTTTTGGGTAGACAGCAGAATTCATGGTTCCATTTATCACAGCAAGTTTTCCAGGTCCTGAAGCAGCAAAACAGGCCCAGACCATCACACTACCACCACCATATTTTACTGTTGGTATGATGTTCTTTTTCTGAAATGCGGTGTTACTTTTACGCCAGATGTAATGGGACACACAACTTCCAAAAGGTTCAACTTTTGTCTCGTCAGTCCACAGAGTATTTTCCCAAAGGTCTTGGGGATCATCAAGATGTTTTCTGGCAAAAATTAGACGAGCCTTAATGTCCTTTTTGCTCAGCAGTGGTTTTCGTCTTGGAACTCTGCCATGCAGGCCATTTTTGCCCAGTCTCTTTCTTATGGTGGAGTCATGAACACTGACCTTAACTGAGGCAAGTGAGGCCTGCAGCTCTTTGGATGTTTTTGTGGGGTCTTTTGTGACCTCTTGGATGAGTCGTCGCTGCGCTCTTGTGGTAAATTTGGTCGGCCGGCCACTCCTGGGAAGGTTCACCACTGTTCCATGTTTTCGCCATTTGTGGATAATGGCTCTCTCTGTGGTTCGCTGGAGTCCCAAAGCTTTAGAAATGGCTTTATAACCTTTTCCAGACTGATGGATCTCAATTACTTTCTTTCTCATTTGTTCCTGAATTTCTTTGGATCTCGGCATGATGTCTAGCTTTTGAGGATCTTTTGGTCTACTTCACTTTGTCAGGCAGGTCCTATTTAAGTGATTCCTTGATTGAGAACAGGTGTGGCAGTAATCAGGCCTGGGTGTGGCTAGAGGAATTGAACTCAGGTGTGATAAACCACAGTTGAGTTGTGTTATAACAGGGGGGGCAAACACTTTTTCACACAGGGCCATGTAGGTTTGGATTTTGTTTTCCCTTAATAATAACAACCTTCATTTCAAAACTGCATTTTGTGTTTACTTGTGTTATCTTTGACTAATATTTAAATTTGTTTGATGATCTGAAACATTTAAGTGTGACAAACATGCAAACAAATAACAAATCAGGAAGGGGGCAAACACTTTTTCACACCACTGTATATCCACAGTAAAACGAGTCCTATATCGACATAACCTGAAAGGCCGCTCAGCAATGAAGAAGCCACTGCTCCAAAACCGCCATAAAAAGCCAGACTACGGTTTGCAACTGCACATGGGGACAAAGATCGTACTATTTGGAGAAATGTCTTCTGGTCTGATGAAACAAAAATAGAACTGTTTGGCCATAATGACCATCGTTATGTTTGGAGAGAAAAAGGGGGTTGATTGCAAGCCGAAGAACACCATCCCAACCGTGAAGCACGGGGGTGGCAGCATCATGCTGTGGGGGTGCTTTGCTGCAGGAGGGACTGGTGCACTTCACAAAATAGATGGCATCATGAGGAAGGAAAATTATGTGGATATATTGAAGCAACATCTCAAGACATCAGTCAGGAAGTTAAAGCTTGGTCGCAAATGGGTCTTCCAAATGGACAATGACCCCAAGCATACTTCCAAAGTTGTGGTAAAATGGCTCAAGGACAACAAAGTCAAGGTATTGGAGTGGCCATCACAAAGCCCTGACCTCAAGCCTATAGAAAATGTGTGGGCAGAACTGAAAAAGTGTGTGCGAGCACGGAGGCCTACAAACCTGACTCAGTTACACCAGCTCTGTCAGCAGGAATGGGCCAAAATTCACCCATCTTATTGTGGGAAGCTTGTGGAAGGCTACCCGAAACGTTTGACCCAAGTTAAACAATTTAAAGGCAATGCTACCAAATACTAATTGAGTGTATGTCAACTTCTGACCAACTGGGAATGTGATGAAAGAAATTAAAGCTGAAATAAATCATTCTCTCTACTATTATTCTGACATTTCACATTCTTAAAATAAAGGGGTGATCCTAACTGACCTAAGACAGGGCATTTTTATTAGGATTAAATGTCAGGAATTGTGAAAAACTGAGTTTAAATGTATTTGGCTAAGGTGTATGTAAACTTCCGACTTCAACTGTATCACCATGCAATGAGGATAGAAGCTGGAATGTGACAAACACTAAATGGATGAAAACAATCTGAGTTTCATGTTTGGACTTGGAGAGGACAGGAACAATTCAGACCTGTGCTCTTCTTTTCTTCCCATCTGTCTGGCTGATTGATCATGACTAGGCTCAGCTGTTAAGAAGCTCTGCTAGTTCAGTAGTGTTGAATTCTCTGAGTGTGGTAGGGCACATGTGGCATGTAGGGGTCTTTTGAAAGCGGCACACCAAATGGCCTTAGTTTGTTCAAAGACTTGGGGGAAGTATGGGATCCCTTTTTACAGGAGTGAAAAAATAGCCATTCAACTAGCTTCCTCTATTTTGTCTATAATGTCTACTTCAGTTTGACCAAGTTCCCCTTTCTTACTTTGCTGATATTTGTGGTATTTCAAATAATCTTTTCAGAAAATCATATTCAACAGTTGATGATGACGTTTGAGAAAAAAGTGTTCAGACGAAACATTTCCAATCACAGTTGTTCCAATCATGGTTTCCTTTGTTTAGTCCTATAAATACATCTCAGGAGTGGTTATACAGTATACACTGAGTGTACAAAACATGAATAACACCTTCCAAATATTGAGTTGCCCCACCCATTTTTGCCCTCAGAACAGCCTCAATTCGTCGGGGCATGGACTCTACAAGGTGTCGAAAGCGTTCCACAGGGATGCTGGCCCATGTTGACTCCAATGCTTCCCACAGTTGTGTCAAGTTGGCTGGATGTCCTTTGGGTGGTGGATCATTCTTGATACACACGGGAAACTGTTAAGCGTGAGCCCTGCATGAACCCTGCAGCACCCTGTTAAGCATGAACCCTGCAGCATTGCCATTCTTGACATAAACCGGTGCGCCTGGCACGTACTACCATACCCCGTTCAAAGGCACTTAAATATTTTGTCTTGCCCATTCACCCTCTGAATGGCACAATACATGTCTCAATTGTCTCAAGGCTTAAAAATACTTATTTATCCTGTCTCCTCTCCTTCATCTACACTGATTGAAGTAGATTTAAGAAGTGACATCAATAAGGGATCATAGTTTTCACCTTGATTCACCTGGTCAGTCTATGTCATGGAAAGAGCAGGTGTTCTTAATGTTTTGTACACTCAGTGGATATCTGCCTGTTGAATTTCCAACAACATACCATCTGTCTTATCCTAGGCACTGTTTAGTTGATTCAGCTTCTTCTCTCTCTCTCTCTCTCTCTCTCTCTCTCTCTCTCTCTCTCTCTCTCTCTCTCTCTCCTCTCTCTCTCTCTCTCTCTCTCTCTCTCTCTCTTTCTCTTTCTCTTTCTCTCTCCTGTGACAACAAGCAGACTGCTAAATCTGTTACTCATTGGCTAATTCTTGTCACATGACCTGGGTTATTCTGACCCTGTACAGCTCATCAGGAAAATACCTGAAACTCCAGGGGTAAACATGTACATCACATGCAGAAGTACTAGAGCAAGGGAATCTGATCTGTTTAAACGATAAAGGGTCGAAAAGGATTCAGGATCACCTTGCTTACAACATCTGTACTGTATTGTGGATTTCCGAACAGATGACCCGTGTGTGTATGTGGGGGGTTTACATGTTGGCTAGAAGTTGGGGTAGCTTGCCCTGTAGCTTGTCCTGTAGTTGGAGTTCCAGGGTACATATGAACTGTAGGGGAAATGTCCTGCCTGTTGAAGGCACATACGGGTCATAGCACTTAATTGTCCTGTGGGCTGGCCCCAGGGTTAGAATGGGTCACTAAAGGAAGAAATGCCCTCAGTTAAGCACAAGTGTCCCTAGGGGCAACTGAACTGTGAGCTATCTTTGAGGAGGAAGTGAAGGTATGGTGAATAGTGAACCAAGGGACCAAATGAATAGTATGTGCCTTTTCATTAGCCTAGTGATATAGCCACACTCAAAAGACTGACATGATTCAATCCAAGGCAGCCTGGCAAAGATCAAACACACTTTTAATTTGTTGTTCCGGGTCGGCGTGCTATCGGCATTGCACAATGAGATTCCCATGAAGTACAGTATAGACTCATTGGGTCCAGATTTCAAGTGATATGCGTTACGTAGCGATAGGAAGCCCTAATATTTCACAATTTAAACACTTGACCCTCAATCCCCCATTTCTCTGATACATGTGTGAGTATTGTACTATAAATTGTGCCTTCCTGTATTATACTTATTCTAAAATGTTTATTCTATTCTACTGAGACATTTACTTTATGTTCATATTCTTATCTTTTATTATTTCTTATTGTTGTTGCATTGTCGAGAAGGAACCTGCAAGTAAGTATTTTGTTGAATAGGGTATACCATGTGTATCCTGTACATAGGACTAATTAAAATTTAAACTTGATTCTTTGCCATATTTTGACAAAACACAAAACCCCTGTGACACAAATCCCTATGAGACTGTATTGTGATGATATGAGGGCAAGAAAAAGTTACGTTTGGGGGTTTTGAGAAGTGGAAGATTAAAAACTTTCCCTGCTCGGCTTGCCAAATGAAAGCAACAGTGCATACAACCTGGTTATCATCACATTTCTCTGAGTCATAGTAGAGACATCACCAGTAGATTGATTTAGGAAATTAGGAGGAGTCTGTGTTTGAAATAGTTGAGTCACACATTGACTGGATGTTTATAGGTCTGACACAAGCTCTGACACTTTCATCTGTGTGTGCTCTCTGAGTCTGGACTAACAGCAGCGCTTTAAAGACTTTGGAAATACCACATGTACTCTTTTTATCTCTGTTCTCCTGGCTTGGTAAGATCATTTCTTGGCTCTCGCCAGATGTCCACTAAAGTCAGACTCTTATGGTGTCGTTTTTCCTGTTAAGAAGTAACACTTTGAACTTTAAGTATAACAATCTGGTTAAATGGGTCTGGGTGGCTGGCGCTCGTTGTGACAATGTCCTTATTTATTTCTCCCTGTCTCTTTCTGTCCCAGTTTTCACTCTCTTCTTTGTGAAGTTTAAGTTTTATGGTGTTCTCAGAAAACTAGATTACAGACCAACTGTTTTATGATTTTTTTAACTAGAGCAGCACGTCCAACCTCTGTTTTATTTGAGACCTGCTTTAAGCATTCCCATGTTACTGGACCTAGATGTCTTCATATACAGAGTGCTGTGCTATGCTGAGACACCTTCCATTGCTCTGATGAAGGGCCAGTGGCACCACATATGCACCAGTCTCTGGCATGACAAGCATGCTGTATCAGTTGACTTAAAGTATCCATTAACCTCAACCATGAGAATCAGTTAGCAATGTGAGCATGGTTTTTCTGTGGCTCCCATGGCACACCTCCAGATCAGTGTTAATTGAGAGGATGTTTGGTTTTATCACTGTAATCCGAGGAGTGTGTGCTGATGGTGTATCTGGTTCAATATTTGTCTCTGACCTGACGCTGGGATGTTCTCTCTCTGTCACCATGTAATAATATAATATAATATAAACCATGTCCCACAGCCTGGAGACTAGTGGGGGTCCCAGTGACTGTCTCCAGCCCAGCCCCAGGGCTCCTAGCTGGGAGGGGAGATGGCGTAGGGTGGAAGTGGGAGGTATGTGCAGCTGGTAGACATGGTGTCTCAGAGCAGGGAGGTGCGTTCAGCTGTCTCACGACAGCTGGGTCTCTAACCTCAGAGGTGTCTCTGCAGGTCCCCTGTTTCTCATCTCAGCCCTCTGCCACTCCTGCTTTTCAAATTCTAGATTGGGTTGTCTCTGTTACAGGTTGTTTCTCTATCGGTTTTGCCAAGGCATATTTATCTATTGTTGGTTTCCTATGACATTAAGTTATGTATTGAACCATGTGGTCATGGTGCAGATCGTGATGATCTCATTGGCCAAAGCTCTGAGGTGTTTGTGTTCAGAGCCTGGCCTAGACGACCTCATATCCTCTTCCTGTCTGACAGAGGATCATAATAATAACCCCTGTTTTCAGACCCCCCCACTATTGCCTGTATGTTAGGGATACTTCCCACTCCCTATTCCTATCCGCCACAGTGACTCAGCTGATGGGTTTTCCAACCAAGGTTATTCCTGGCTAGAAAGACAGAAAGAAAGAAAGAAAGAAAGAAAGAAAGAAAGAAAGAAAGAAAGAAAGAAAGAAAGAAAGAAAGAAAGAAAGAAAGAAAGAAAGAAAGAAAGAAAGAAAAATAAAACATTTCTTGCAAATAGCTTAATATATATATTTAGCTAGCTTTTCCTACCACAATCACACTGTGGAGGTAGGAGCAGCAGTCAGGGGCGTAAGACACCAAAGTTGTCGAGACAAATTGAAATTCGCTGACTGTTAAGTGGATTTGCTGCTCCGTAACCCAATCTAATTACCCAGTTGGGCAAAGGATTCTAACTTCATTTCATCTTTCTGTGTTCCTCAAGGTCTCGTATATTAGCCAGGGCCTTCAGTAATGTGTATGTCTATGGACAAGGGTGACTTGGTGATCTAAAGATGATCCCTGTGTAAACCCATATACATTTTGGAAAATGGGCTGGCTTTTTTTCCTGAATGCTGGTAATATTCATATTCCGTGTGATAGATTGTGGAATATAATTGCTTTAGTTAACATTATGTGAAAAGTACCCAACAGCCACTGTGGTCGGTGTGATGAAACACAGGGCTACAACACAGGCTATTTTTATGATTCTGGTAAAGCACACATTGACACTTTGTCAACGAACCAGTAAGCTCAGGACTGCCATATTGATCTTACTTAAGAGTGTCTGTCTGCTTGAGAGAGTAGGTAGTCTTTAGATGGGCCATAGAGGGGCGTTGCCATGACGATAGCAGAGCCATGTATTGCCTAATGCAGGGTATTCAAACATACGGATCACAGGGGTGGTTTGAGTGATAAAAAATAAATACAAAATCTAACAAACTCAATACAAATTGAAACTGTTTAGAAATGATAATGGACCTGCATGTATACGTTGACTGTGTCCAGCTCGCTAATAATCACCCAAATTAAAGCAAGACAGTCAGGGAGTATAGAAAATTCAAAAAAGATGGATAGAGGCTATCTTGCCAATGTTCCCGCTCATTCCCGATGGCACTCTCCCACGACTAATCCCTCTCTCATTCTCTCTCGTTCTCCCTCTCTCAGTTCAATTCAAATGGCTTTATTGCCATGGAAACATATGTTTACATTGGCGAAGCAAGTGGAATCTCTCTCTTTCTCTGTCCTCCCACTTCACTGCTATTTTCTCACCACTGTGCTTTCTAGCACTCATGTCTCTTTTAGAAGTGAGATCAGGCTGGTTGGGTGGTAATACAGTATAGTTGGATTAGGACTGCTACAGTGAGGAAAGCTTGTATATAACACTACTGTGGGCATTGGCCTCAAGTCAGATGTGATCTTCTACTGCGCACTGACTGTGCTAACAATCAACATAATGTGCCGATGCTGGAGGGCTGAAAAAACTAGCCTAGCCTGGTTTGTACCACCCTGGGTGTGGTGTGACAATGACAAGTGAACAACAGACACAAAGCCAGAGCTAGACTCAGCATGTCCAAGTGCCTCTCATATCATTCTGTTCTGTGAATCTGGTTTCATCTCGAAACAACTTCCAAGCAGAGGATTGTGTTTCTGTTGTTGTTACTGGTCATGTTAAAGAGGACTGACATCATTTAGCGTGTGGATAGAATTAGAACTCTGGTATTATGGGAATGTATAATGGCAGTGATGCTGTCTTGAGTATAATGGCAGTGATGCTGTCTTGATCTCAGCTCATTGTGTGGGGACCTAGACAATGTGCTTTCATAAATTGAGGCTCTACAGGCCCCTCCAGGGGGCTCCAAGGACAGGAAATAGACACCCTCCCCCCTCCTCTCGCTCTCTCGCTCTCTCTAGGATCATCAGCCGTAAACCAGACCACTCACCAGGCACACCAGTGGAGAATGAGACTAGTCATAAATAAGACAGACCCTGTTGGTCATCCATTAAGTTAATTTACCAGTGCCTTGTCTTGAGTAGTAACCTGATGATATGTGAGTGTGTGGGGGTGTATGTATAATGTGTTTAGCATGTGATCATTGTGCTACGTTATATGTGGTCTTTGGCCTTTTGCATAAATTCCTTCTTGCCCCTTTAATGGTTACTGTAATGTAGCCCAATCTGTGCCATAGTAAACTATATTAAACTGGCGGTTTTACATCAATAACATAGTCATTTTGCATTTTCATGTGTTTAATTTGGTATTGGCAAATCAAGTCATTTTGCATTACAAAGGTTTGTATCAACATCAGACCATAATCCTTGATCATTTAAATCTCCTTGACACTGCCACTGCTGTAGAGGTAGCATCACTGACACCACCAACCCTGACCATGACAGAAGGTCCCGCATTTCAAAGAGCTCAGACAGCAGCAGCACGTTTACAGCTGTCTCCCACCTCAGCCTGTCTCACACTGCAGTGAGAACTAACACAGTCCAAACACTGGGCGTTTGAAGTGGCGCCCATCCTCTCTGCAGCGTGTCACTAGTCTCCGCTCCTCTGGGACAGGGCTGGCTGTGCTGTGCTATGCTGGGAGGCTGCCAGGTGAGTGAGAGAGTGAGAGAGAGTGAGAGAGAGTGAGAGAGTGAGAGAGTGAGAGGAGTGAGGAGAGAGTGAGAGAGAGAGTGAGAGGAGTAGGAGTAGAGAGAGAGTGAGATCTCTCTTTTCGCGCTGCGCTGTTCTGCGCTCTGCTCTCGCTCTCTCTCGCTCCTTGCGCTCTCGCTTCTCTCGCTCTCTTCTCTCTGCTCTCCCGTTCCTGCGTGCGCTTCTTTGCTTCTTCGCTCCTCCCTCTCTCTCCTCTCTCTCTCTCTCCTCTCTCATCTCTCTGCTCTCTCTCTTCTCCACATACTCCGCTCGTCTCTGCTACTTCCTCTGTGGCTACTGCGACCTGTTTACCTTCCATACGCACCTCGCCCCACAACATAGGGCATTGACATGTTGCAGGACTAGCTGAGGAGCTAGGGTGGTGAGGGGACAAGGACCACCTTGATATGTCACTACATCTTCGCTCGCACCATTCGCCCCACTTCCCACCAGGAAATGAGGTGAGCAGTGAGCATTGTTAGTGTCCAGGGGAATACAGAAGTGAGGTTGGGTGGAGGGACAGGACCATCTGCTTTTTTCTCTTCTTCCTCTGTCTGCTCGTAATCTGCTAGCCTTAGGAGAGTGTGAGACGTGAGCAGTCTTTAGATGTCGGTAGAGGAGAGCTTCAGTTAATGTAGAAGTGTGTTATTGCTAACGGAGGAGAGGTAGTATCTCTTTCTAATCTGTGAGCAGATGAAAGGGAATGTAACTGATTCTTAAAGTAAGCAGAAACTCTTTATTTGTCTAGGTGTTCAGTCACAGTTGGTCAGATGGATAGAAGTGTGTTCATTTGCTCAACCACGGGGATGGAGGTAAGATCTAATTGAGATATTGATGAATGAATGTTGCCACAAGAAAAGGGCAACCAGTGAAGAACAAATGCAATTTTAAATACAACCCTTATTTTTCCCTTTGTACATCATTACAACACTGTATATAGCCATAATATGACAGATTTTGATTGATAGTGCTGGGATTAGCGTTCTGACATTGTCTGAAGTTAGTCACGAGACTGACAGCTGAGGGAGGAGCATTAACCTCCAGTCCTCAGGGTAGATGGAGACTACACTAATGCAATTCTGCTCCCCAGTTAAGTTCTCCAAAACACATCTCTCTCTACTACTCTAATCAGTCTTAAGTGTTTTGGAACGGGTCAGCTGGGACCTTAGGTCTTTTGTATTTTGTCATTTCTCAAAGGTTTCATATAAGGTGTTTTTGAGTCTATGTAATTGATGGGTCACTACTTTTGGGTGGAGAGGTGGAGGGAGGTACTGTGTTATAGTCCAGAGCACGAGAATGCTAAACACACTTACGGAAGGAAAGTTTTACACACTGTAATGAGAAGTCTTCTTAATCTGTCTCAGTCGGATAGATGTGCAGTGGTCATTATTTATTTTGGTTTGCACAACACACACTGGAGTTATTGTCTCATTACTTAGAAGGCAGTGTTTTGGCTGGCTGGCCGGACTAAAAAAGGAACAAAAGCCTTTGGAGGGTCGGTGAAATGTGGGGAAGAATGCGAGGAATCGGATCGCAGTTGTTTTCTTAACTTTGCCTGAGTTTGAAATGTTAATTTGTGGAGCATTTTTAGATGGTCACTATTTACAGGTAGCCACAGGTTTGTAGAAGTTAGGAACAATGCTTTGCTTGTTCGGGTGACTGTCATCTGATGTATGTGTGTGCGTTATCTCTTTAAATCCAAACCCAGATCTCATCCTTTCCCTCATTCTCTCTCTATTCCAGGGAGCTCTCTCAGAGATGGCAGCCTTCCCCAGGGTCTAAGGCAGCCATGTTGGTTAACGTGAACAGTGTGAGTCGGATCCAGCCTGGAGGCCCATCTAGCCCGGCCCTGCAACTCTGTCACCACAACACCCACACCAAGCCCAGTGGCAACCAGGCCTTCACCCTCCTCCCCATCAGCAGCAAGCCCCCGTGGGCCCACGCCTGCTCTGCCCAGGGCTACAAGACTGCCCCCTCTGGCAAGATGGCCGCCGATGCCTACCACCTGAGGAAGACGGGGAACGGCAGCTTCTATCTGGTGTCCTCTGACCCTCCCCAAACCCCAGGCAATCTCAGGTCCCAGCCCAGCACCCCCAGGTCAGTGTCTCCCCAGTATGCCTCCACACTTCCCATCTACGATGACACGGGATCACAGTGTCCCATTTATGATGAGCCTCCTGCGGACATGGAGGTGGAGGGGGCTAACCTCCATAATGGGCCTGGTGGTCTGTCCCGCCTCACCCCCACACACAGCCTGCAGAAGCTCAGGCTCCTCCAGCACCCTGGCTCCTCTCACTCAATCTCTAGGCACAAGAGGAATCCCTCTGCCTCTGACTACAGTCCTGCTGGCCTGGAGGGCATCAAGCACATGGTCAATGTGGATCCCAAACAGGCCCTTCTGTCCACCTCCCCCGGCCCCACCTGCACCCCCACCCCACGGCTGGACCCCCTCTTGGCCCAGCCCCAGCCTCAGAGGGAGCCAGGGACCCCAGTGATGCCAGGTATCCTGGAGAAGAAGCAGATGTGGCGGGCCCTGGAGGCCAGTGTGTTGAGGGCAGTGGAGGCTTGCCACAGCAGGCAGAGCAGCCAGGCCTCCCAGGACTTCCCCACACCTCCAGGCCCCCAGACCACCTCCACCTACCAGGACTCTGGCTACTCCACTGGGCCCTCGCCCAGCCTGAGGAGGAAGAGCCGGCGGAGGGTAGGGGCCGGGGGGAGGCCAGGCTCAGTGGGCAGCAGCGGGGACCTGTGTGCCCTCAACGACAGACTGATGGCGGAGATGAGGGAGGTGGTGAGCCGCTCCAACACCATGAGGGAGATGAAGGCTGGTGGACTGGGGGTGCGAGAAGATGTCCCCTCTGCCAGCCGTTTGCTGAGCAGGGTGGGTAATCATAGCAACCCGGCCCTGGCGCCGCTGGAGATGCCAGGAAGGCAGAAGAGGACCTATGAGAAGGTGGACACCCTGGAGAAGAGCATCACCAGCCAGGCCAGCCTCTCCTCACCAGACACCCCCGGACCCCCCTCACAGGTACGCATCCGCTCCGCTGTGTGTCTTTGTCTCCGTCTCGTCTCTGTCACCTGTCTCTGTCTGTCTGTGAGAGATTAGACCTGATAAATTGAATAGTTCTGGTTTGTCTATTTGGTTAAAACCCTGACTGGTGCCTATTGTTGTGTGGTCTGTTTATGTGGAACAGTTTGTTTGGATTCTGTTTTGTTTTGTCTGGAGGTAGTAACATTGCTGGTGCTTTCCAGGACTACTTTCATTGCTAGACTAGTAAGAGTGTCTCAATTCCAAGTTAAAGTTGTGCACACCACAGTAAGGACAGATTGGCTCATTAGGCCTATTATATAACTAGATAAATGTGATAATTATATTTTGACTAGGCAGAGTAATATATACAGACACACACACACTGTCAGGAGGTTGACTTATTAGGCTAGGACAGGTGCACATGATTTGAGTTAGGGGAGCATTTTCCCTCTCATGAACAGTTACATAAGTAACCGTTTAGAGCCATAGCAGATCTTTAGTGCTATGAGCGCTGCCAAATATAATCCCAAAAGCCCTCTCAACAACGCACCCCTCTCCATATCATGTGAGTTCCAGTATTCCAATGAAACTATAGAGCCAAAAAGGTAAAGATGTTTCAATTAAAAAATATCTTATAATATAAAACCTGTAAACAGAACAATTAGACTGGACGATGGTAGGAGTGTCAGGCTCAGAGGCCCCACTGGTCCAATACATGGTTCCCCTGGTCAGGAAGGAGGGCCACTGTCCCAGATGGCACAGGGTTGGAGAGCTGGGTAGGGGTGGGGCTCAGGGGCTGGTGCCATGAGGGGTTGGTACTGAAGCAATCACATTTAAACAAATATTGGAAATGGGTCCCTAAGCCTGTTCTTGAATACTCTACAAACCTGCTGTTATATCATGATACACGTACAGAATACACACACTTTTGGTTGTTGACTATACCCCTGTAAAGCTTTGCCTGTATTTTTCTATCCATTCCATTGTAGAGAAGCAGAACATTTGCGTCTTTTTCAAAACCCAGTAAACCCAGGGGTTTAAAGCCAGCACGGAAATGTGATCTGTTTTCACTGTGTAATCTATATATACAACCTTGAATGTTTCATATTAAAATCTGATTTTAAGGACTTTGGACATTATTGGCCTCCTTAAATAGAAATGTAATTAAACTCTGCCGTTGAATTACTACCATGTCATGGGGCATCTTAAAGCTATCTGTATAAAAGAGAAGGGGAATTATAGAAGATATAATTCATACTGTTAGTGTTCCTTTGCCTTGTTCCATTTGATCTTAAACAGTGACCCATGCCACTCAATTAAGACCATGAAGTCCGTATGACCATATATAAAGAAGTGCTGCCAAACCCAAATCTGGAGATCTGCGCTATTTGAGCAGGAACCCTAAATCTAAATTCCAGGCTCTTTGGCACACTCCAACCCCATATTACATCATGGTCACAATGAAGAAATATGTTTAACATTGTATGTTCAGATAGTAAATTCCTGCTTTGATTTGGCCTGGGTTTCTTGTTGTTCCTGGATGTTTCTCTGAGTCTGACCAGAGCTGGATTACTGGTTTGGTTTTCACTGTGAAGGTGCAGTGACTGTGGATAGGGCTCCTTATAGGCAGAAATCCCACTTGGGATCAGACAGTGGATTTGCACATGCAGTGTTTAAGGAGAGGTGGGTCGGGGCAGAAATAGTTAGGGCCTCTTATGTCACCCTTCTGTGCTCCTCACCTGCTCCTGACGAAAAGGCCCATGTGGATATTGGGGCATTTTTGGGTGGTGCGGTTCCTTTCCGGCATTAGAAAATGAATGTGCCTATCCTGCAACAATTCCCCCTGGAGCCCTCGCACTGCAGAGCAGAGGAAAGGCAGCTCATCCACACTGAGGAGACTGCAGCTGTGGACATACAGTCCATAAATACACACAGTGCATTGGGAAAGTATTCAGATCCCTTCCCTCTTTCCACATTTTGTTACGTTACAGCCTTATTCTAAAATGGATTAAATAAATAAAAATCCCCATCAATCTACACACAATACCCCATAATGACAAAGCGAAAACAGGTTTTTAGACATTTTTGCAAATGGATTAAAAATAAAAAAAAACAGAAATCCCTTATTTACATAAGTATTCAGAGCCCTTGCTATGAGACTCAAAATTGAGCTCAGGTGCATCCTGTTTCCATTGATCATCCTTGAGATGTTTCTACAACTTGATTGGAGTCCATCTGTGGTAAATTAAATTGACTGGACATGATTTGGAAAGGCACACACCTGTCTATTTAAGGTCCCACAGTTGACAGTGCATGTCAGAGCAAAAACCAAGCCATAAGGTCGAAGGAATTGTCCGTAGAGCTCCAAGACAGGATTGTGTCGAGGCACAGATCTGGGGAAGGGTACCAAAACATTTCTGCAGCATTGAAGGTCCCCAAGAACACAGTGGCCTCCATCATTCTTAAATAGAAGAAGTTTGGAACCACCAAGACTCTTCCTAGAGCTGGCCGCCCGGCCAAACTGAGCAATCAGGGGAGAAGGGCCTTGGTCAGGGAGGTGACCAAGAACCTGATGGTCACTCTGACAGACCTCCAGAGTTGCTCTGTGGAGATGGGAGAACCTTCCAGAAGGTCAACCATCTCTGCAGCACTCCACCAATAAGGCCTTTATGGTAGAATGGCCACACGGAAGCCACTCCTCAGTAAAAGGCACATGACAGCCCGCTTGGAGTTTGCCAAAAGGCACCTAAAGACTCTCAGACCATGGAAAAAAGATTCTCTGGTCTGATGAAACCAAGATTAGTCAGGATCGAGGGAAAGAGCAAAGTACAGAGAGATCCTTGATGAAAACCTGCTCCAGAGCGCTCAGGACCTCAGACTGGGGCGAATTACCCTAAGCACACAGCCAAGACAATGCAGAAGTGGCTTCGGGACAAGTCTCTGAATGTCCTTGAGTGGCCCAGCCAGAGCCCGGACTTGAACCTGACCGAACTTCTCTGGAGAGACCTGAAAATAGCTGTGCAGCGACGCTCCCCAACCAACCTGACAGCGCTTAAGAGGATCTGCAGAGAAGAATGGGAGAAACTCCCCAAATACAGGTGTGCCAAGCTTGTAGCAACATACCCAAGAAAACTCAAGGCTGTAATCGCTGCCAAAGGTGCTTCAACAAAGTACAGAGTAAAGGGTCTGAATACTTATGTAAATGTGATATTTCAGTTTTTTGTTTTGTGATTATGGGGTATTGTGTATAGATTGATGAGGGGGAAAAAACAATTTAATCCATTTTAGAATAAGGCTGTAATGTAACAAAATGTGGAATAAGTCAAGGGGTCTGAATACTTTCCTAATGCACTGTACATACATACATACATACAGCTGCACTGACGCTTACTCTCTCCCTCTCTCTCTTCCCTCAACCCTCTCTCTCTCCTCTCTCTTCCTTCACCCCTCTCTCTCTCCTCTCTTCCCTCACCCCTCTCTCTCTCCTCTGTCTTCCCTCTCTTTGTCTCCTGAAGGCAGGGACCCTGGAACTGAAGGCTCAGTTGGACAGCAGGAAGAAAGATATGGTGGATGGACGAACAGGCTCACTGGGCCCCCACCACCACCGCTCCGTCTCCCATGACAACAGAGATGGAGGAGAAATAGGAGGCTCCTTCCACCAGCTCTCTTACACCACCCTGCGCCAGCCCCCACCAGACAACTCAGGCATGGCGGACTGGGCCAGCAAGCACCTGAACATGCACACCCAGGGCCTGTTCCGCCGCCGTGTCTCCATCGCCAACATGCTCTCCTGGAACCGCGGCTCCATCAAGAAGCCCATGCTGGTGACCAGTGACCGCGCTGTGAGGAAGGAGGCCTGTGAGATGTTCAAACTGGTCCAGGCCTACATGGGAGACAGACCCTCCCGCCTAGACCGCCGCCACACTGCCCTGCTCATCATCACCAAGTGCTGGGGCATGCAGGGCCTGAGGGACGAGCTGTACATGCAGCTGGTGAGGCAGACCACGGGCAACACCAGCCCAAGGAGCCTGGCTGCAGGCTGGGAGCTGATGGCCGTCAGCCTGGCCTTCTTTGCCCCCTCACCCAAGTTCCGCTGCTACCTGGAGGGATACATCCAGAGGCACACAGAGCCTAGCAGCGACAAGCAACAGGGTGGGTCGAATTTCCCTGTTTCCTCCGTCACTCTGTGTGTGTGTGTGTGTGTGTGTGTGTGTGTGTGTCATTATCAGCATGACAGGTCTAGTTTGAGGGGTGTGATGGTTTGAATTGGTTTTTACCTCTTCTCTTCTCTCCTGTTTGCTCTTTGTGGATGTTATTAGATTTTCTGAATAGCCTTTTAACCTCTGCCTTATTTTCTGGTTTCCAGTGACTCAGTTCATACTAGACCAGCAAGACATGAAACTGAAGAAGAACTCAAAGTCCAGAAAGAAACGGAAACAGAACACGGATGAAGAAGGTAGGTCTGAGATCACTAAGGTAACATTATAAAGATGAATGTTTAGTATGGGAAGTGTTGCTGAGGAGGAAGTCTGTTGGGGAGTGCTGAAGTGAGAGACCAATAATTTGCCACTTTTCAAGATTAATTGTCTGTTATTTCCTTATTGGTTAGAAACCACTACAAACCGAACGTGGTTCATATTTATCTCACTGCAGATGAAGAATTTGGAGTGAAATGGAAATTTGTAATGATATGTCACTTGACTACCATGCTGATATGCAGAGTTTCCCTGGTAGATATTATGAATAGTTTTCACAGAATACCACAGGAGGTGATAAAAGAGCTGAATGATGACAATTTCTATAGAGACACAATAGGGAGCCATGTTAGTGGTTCCCTCTGGCAGTCCCACATTGTGTGTCCATCAACGATTTAAGGAAAGCCTACCCACTGCACATGACCTCATTAGGGCAACCCACAATACCAGCCTTGATAATGTCATCAGCAAAGAACCTATACTCGTCTCGTAGTATTGACCACACTGGTAAACCCACACACATTTTACATCAATGACTGTGCCACCAACCTATACACTGGACAACGTCAGTGACCCACAGGCCATGAGGAATGGTTACCCTTCATGGGAGTGACTCACTGAAGAGTTTTTCAGATATTGGCTGTAATAATGACTTGAGGGGGAGGGCTATTATATTACTCATGATGTGGGCACGGCGCAGCTGTGAGCAGAGGGGTGGGAGGGAGTCACGTGTGGGAACTGGAGGCCTCTTGTCTGGGCTCAGCCTGGGCTAGACTGGGATGGGCTTCTCTTGGGCCTAGGCTGGGCTGAGGCGGGCCTTGCTTACTTGGGTTTAAACAATTAGCTATGAAATTAGACTTGACTGAGGTAGCAACACTGACTAAACAGATCCCTTGGAGAATCTCAGAGATACTTTCTGATCCCATGTGTTGGCAGCTGTTATCACATTCTCTGCCTTGTGCTCTTAATCCTCTAATGAGTGGTGATTTGTGGTGATTTCTCACAGGCTCTGGTTGCTTCGCTGTTTGTTTTGCCTTATCCAAACAACATGTTCATTTGGACCACCGCTGGTGTTCAAATCTGCTCTCAGGCTGGGTAAAGAAAATAACCCAACTCTTTATTTTCTTCCTCTAATGATTAGTGAATTCAGGGAGTCTTGGGAAAAACAGTGTGTTTTCTCTGAGATCATGAGCGAAATTATCTGTATGATCTCTGTAATTAGCTGTAATTACAGTCAAACTGGGCCAGATTAACGTTGGCTGTGAACATGCATGGGAGTCAGTTACCTGTTTGCTATAAATCCAGGGGCTTTCAGTTCAGGCTAGGGAACATTCCGGGAAGGATGTTTTTCATCGCAGCACAAAGTTCTCCATCTGGCCGGGGTTCAGCCACCTGAGAGAGAGTTCTCTGGGAAGGAAGGGAGATGGACGGGACCCCATGGGTGTGATAGGGAGGCTCAGGGAGGGAAGTGGAGGCCTGTTTTATGTGTGAACTTGAGTTATCACAGTGACAACGTATAGGGCTGGGGTGTAGGTAGGGATACCTCTGCTCCCTCCAGTGTTCTAAGTGTCTGATTAATCACCTGGGACATGATGTGCTGGATGGCTGGCTGGCTCCAGTCTCCTGTACCGTGACAGTTGAGGCGTGAATGCTCTGATCCCCAAATGGCAGAATCACACTGCAAACATGTCTCTTTAATTACCTCCTTGGAAATATCTGACATCTGTGGGAACAAATAGCTTGTCCTTTTAGTGAGGAATTGTTTAACCCTTTATATGTTGGCTTGGTTGGAAAGTTCCTCACAAGATTCACTCACTGAGCAGATGTATCTGTGTAGGTGTGAGCTGCAGCTACAATGAGAGCTGGATTTCCCATGGTGTTCGGGTACCGAGTCTCATTCCTCAGTCTTACAGTGGCCCTGTCTTTCTTCTCTCTTTACAGGTCTACCTATCAGCACGTATGCAAAGTTCTGCTATCGCAAACTACAGAAAGTGGCCATAACTGGAGGCAAAAAGGTAAGTTGAGATATGAGCAGGGCAAAGGGGTGGGGAATATCGACAAGGGGGGCAGCCTTGGACAATAGCCAAAAAATGCCCAAATGCGTCAACACATAACCCCGCCCTGAATTTCGCTCTTTTTTTTTAATACCCACAGTGGACCAAACCAATACAGATGTTGCTAGAGAGATACGTAATGCTAAATAGATAAACATGGACATTAGTCAGAAACATATTATCATGGATAGACATGGATAGATCCTTATAGGGACAGTCACAGGCCTTAACATAAAGATAAGACATAGTTATAGTCTATTTCAGATATCATCTTTGATGTCGACAGTCATAGACATAATCATAGACAGAGTCATACATGTACAGTACAAAACGTCCTAGTAGTCACGCTCTGTGAACCTCCCCTGCAGGGTCTTCGTAAGCCCACTCTGGAGGAGATTGACCACAGCAGGCTGGCCATCGTGACCCCCTCCCTGTTCGGCAGCTCCCTGGATGAGGTGATGGAGCGCCAGAGTGAACTCTTCCCAGACAGGAAGCTACCCTGGGTACAGGTGCAGCTCTCCCAATATGTCCTGGCACTGGGAGGGGCCCAGACCGAGGGCATCTTCAGGTGAGACTGACGGACAGGAGGTCAGCCAAACACCTCAGGGTTAGGGTCAATTCCATTTCAATTCAGAAAGTAAACCAAATTCCAATTCCAAATTTCCTCATTTGAAAAGCATTGACGAGAATTGGAATTTCAGTGTACTTCCTGAATTGTCTGGAAATGGAATGGACCCCAACCTTGGTATTCACCAATGAGGTGTGGGGTAGTGGTGTGTGTTTAGCAAGGTAGCAGTCATAAGAGGAGATGTAGACAAAGAAAGGATCTAGACAAATGTATTTGTCAGCCTTAGTGGGTGGTCTCCTGAAGCAGTACAGTTTAAAGCAAACGTTCCCTGTGCAGCTTACTGTACAGAGACAGAAAACAGAGCAAACATTGACTACCACTTGTCACGCCCTGGCTCTGGGGACTCTTATATGTTGAGCCAGGGTGTTAGTTTCTATGTTTAGTGTTCTATGTTCATGTTCTAGTTCATGGGTTTCTATGTTGGCCGGGGTGGTTCCCAATCAGAGGCAGCTGTGGCTTGTTGTCTCTGATTGGGAACCATACTTAGGCAGCCTGTTTTGCACTTGTCATTTGTGGGATCTTGTTCCGGAGAGGTTTGTGTTTGTTAACCTTAGGACTTCACGTATCGTTTTGTTGTTTTGTTGTGTGTGTTTAAAGTACTCATTAAAAGATGTACGCATATCACGCTGCGCCTTGGTCCATTGCTTACGACGATCGTGACAGAAGATCCCACCAAAAGAGGACCAAGCAGCGTGTCCAGGAACAGACAGCCTGGACTTGGGAGGAGATCCTGGACGGGAAGGGATCCTGGACTTGGGAGGAGATTCAGGCCGGAATGGATCGCCGTCCCTGGGAGGAGACTGTGGAGGCGCGCTACAGAGAGGAGCAGCGGCAACGCAGAGGGTACCGGCCGAGGAGGAAGCCCGAGAGACAGCCCCAATATTTTTTTTTTGGGGGGGCAAAAGGGGTGGTTGGCGGAGCCTAGAGGTAGAGCGGAGCCAACTCCCCGTACTCAGGCTAGGAAGCGTGAGTCTGGGCAGGCTCCGTGTTATGCGGAGCCACGTACTGTGCCGCGAGTGTTCCGGCACAGTCCTGTACGTCCTGTGCTAGCACCACGCACGTGTCGTGCTAAGGTGGGCATGCAGCCAGGACGGAGTGTGCCGGCTCAACGCTCGTGGCCTCCAGTACCCCTCCTCGGTCCCGTATATCCTGCGCCAGTGCCACGTGATGTAGCGCCAGTACGAGTGCACAGCCCTTTACGTCCTGTGCTGATGCCTCACACATATTGTGTGGAAGTAGGCATTCAGCCAGGACGGGTTGTGTTAGCTCTCCGCTCCAGACCTCCAGTCCGCCTCCACAGTCCGGCCCGGCCCGTTTCGGCTCCCCGCACCAAGCCTGTGGTGCGTGTTCCCAGTACGGCCCAACCCGTTCCTGCTCCCCGCACTAAGTTAGTGGTGCGTGTTCCCAGTCCGGCCCGACCCGTTCCTGCTCCCCGCACTAAGTTAGTGGTGCGTGTTCCCAGTCCGGCCCGACCCGTTCCCGCTCCCCGCACTAAGTTAGTGGTGCGTGTTCCCAGTACGGCCCAACCCGTTCCTGCTCCCCGCACTAAGTTAGTGGTGCGTGTTCCCAGTCCGGCCCGACCCGTTCCTGCTCCCCGCACTAAGTTAGTGGTGCGTGTTCCCAGTCCGGCCCGACCCGTTCCCGCTCCCCGCACTAAGTTAGTGGTGCGTGTTCCCAGTACGGCCCAACCCGTTCCTGCTCCCCGCACTAAGTTAGTGGTGCGTGTTCCCAGTACAGCCCAACCCGTTCCTGCTCCCTGCACTAAGTTAGTGGTGCGTGTTCCCAGTCCGGCCCGACCCGTTCCTGCCCCTCGCACCAAGCCAGTGGTGCGCGTCGCCAGCCCGGTCCGGCCTGTTCCTGCCCCTCGCACCAAGCCAGTGGTGCACGTCGCCAGCCCGGCCCGGCCTGTTCCTGCCCCTCGCACCAAGCCAGTGGTGCGCGTCGCCAGCCCGGCCTGTTCCTGCCCCTCGCACCAAGCCTGTGGTGCGCGTCGCCAGCCCGGTCCGGCCTGTTCCTGCTCCCCGCACCAAGCCAGTGGTGCGCGTCGCCAGCCCGGTCCGGCCTGTTCCTGCTCCCCGCACCAAGCCTGTGGTGCGCGTCGTCAGCCCGGTTCGGCCCGTTCCTGCTCCCCGCACCAAGCCAGTGGTGCGCGTCGTCAGTCCGGCACAGCCCGTGCCTGTTCCACCGGTGCTTGGTCAGTGGTGCGCGTCGTCAGTCCGGCACAGCCCGTGCCTGTTCCACCGGTGCTTGGTCAGGTACTGGTAAGCTGCTCTACACCGGAGCCTAAGCAATCCGCTCCACCGATGTCCAGTCCAGCTCCAGCCAGCGGGACCAGACCAGGGGCGCTACGGGGGGGGTAGCTAGAGAGTGGTGGTCACGCCCGGAGCCGGATCCGCCTCCGAGGCGGAATGCCCACCCGGCCCCTCCCCTGTTGGGTTTAGTTGGCGCGGTCGCAGTCCGCGCCTTTGGGGGGGGGGTACTGTCACGCCCTGGCTCTGGGGACTCTTATATGTTGAGCCAGGGTGTTAGTTTCTATGTTTAGTGTTCTATGTTCATGTTCTAGTTCATGTGTTTCTATGTTGGCCGGGGTGGTTCCCAATCAGAGGCAGCTGTGGCTTGTTGTCTCTGATTGGGAACCATACTTAGGCAGCCTGTTTTGCACTTGTCATTTGTGGGATCTTGTTCCGGAGAGGTTTGTGTTTGTTAACCTTAGCACTTCACGTATCGTTTTGTTGTGTGTGTTTAAAGTACTCATTAAAAGATGTACGCATATCACGCTGCGCCTTGGTCCATTGCTTACGACGATCGTGACACCACTGCTCAAGAGCCCCTGGAGACCAGCAATGTTTAATGTGTAGTTAGTCTTTGTTTGGTCTTTCTGTAGCTGATTCAATTCCATATAATTTTAAGGCTTTGACACATCGGTAGCATTTACTGGCCAAGAGTACTTTGCACCTGGTTAATCGAATATCAGGATATCCGAAAGGAAATTAGTATTTCATTACTTGTTTATTTTTTGGTTACAATGAAAAAGCTTTGTCTAAATTAAATGTGATCTTAAATGATATACCATGACATTTGAAACATAATAAAACACATTTTTTAATGTAGTTTTTAAAACGTACTATTTTCCCCACTTCAAATAGCAATTACAGGCGCTCACCTAACATACACTGCTCAAACAAATAAAGGGAACACTAAAATAACACATCCTAGATCTGAATGAATGAAATAATCTTATTAAATATTTTTTTCTTTACATAGTTGAATGTGCTGACAACAAAATCACACAAAAATTATCAATGGAAATCAAATGTATCAACCCATGGAGGTCTGGATTTGGAGTCACCCTCAAAATTAAAGTGGAAAACCACACTACAGGCTGATCCAACTTTGATGTAATGTCCTTAAAACAAGTCAAAATGAGGCTCAGTAGTGTGTGTGGCCTCCACGTGCCTGTATGACCTCCCTACAACGCCTGGGCATGCTCCTGATGAGGTGGCGGATGGTCTCCTGAGGGATCTCCTCCCAGACCTGGACTAAAGCATCCGCCAACTCCTGGACAGTCTGTGGTGCAACGTGGCGTTGGTGGATGGAGCGAGACATGATGTCCCAGATGTGCTCAATTGGATTCAGGTCTGGGGAACGGGCGGGCCAGTCCATAGCGTCAATGCCTTCCTCTTGCAGGAACTGCTGACACACTCCAGCCACATGAGGTCTAGCATTGTCTTGCATTAGGAGGACCCAGGGCCAACCGCACCAGCATATGGTCTCACAAGGGGTCTGAGGATCTCATCTCGGTACCTAATGGCAGTCAGGCTACCTCTGGCGAGCACATGGAGGGCTGTGCGGCCCCCCAAAGAAATGCCACCCCACACCATGACTGACCCACCGCCAAACCGGTCATGCTGGAGGATGTTGCAGGCAGCAGAACGTTCTCCACGGCGTCTCCAGACTCTGTCACATCTGTCACACGTGCTCAGTGTGAACCTGCTTTCATCTGTGAAGAGCACAGGGCGCCAGTGGCGAATTTGCCAATCTTGGTGTTCTCTGGCAAATGCCAAACGTCCTGCACGGTGTTGGGCTGTAAGCACAACCCCCACCTGTGGACGTCGGGCCCTCATACCACCCTCATGGAGTCTGTTTCTGACCGTTTGAGCAGACACATGCACATTTGTGGCCTGCTGGAGGTCATTTTGCAGGGCTCTGGCAGTGCTCCTCCTGCTCCTCCTTGCACAAAGGCGGAGGTAGCAGTCCTGCTGCTGGGTTGTTGCCCTCCTACGGCCTCCTCCACATCGCCTGATGTACTGGCCTGTCTCCTGGTAGCGCCTCCATGCTCTGGACACTACGCTGACAGACACAGCAAACCTTCTTGCCACAGCTCGCATTGATGTGCCATCCTGGATGAGCTGCACTACCTGAGCCACTTGTGTGGGTTGTAGACTCCGTCTCATGCTACCACTAGAGTGAAAGCACCGCCAGCATTCAAAAGTGACCAAAACATCAGCCAGGAAGCATAGGAACTGAGAAGTGGTCTGTGGTCACCACCTGCAAAACCAGTCCTTTATTGGGGGTGTCTTGCTAATTGCCTATAATTTCCACCTGTTGTCTATTCCATTTGCACAACAGCATGTGAAATGTATTGTCAATCAGTGTTGCTTCCTAAGTGGACAGTTTGATTTCACAGAAGTGTGATTGACTTGGAGTTACATTGTGTTGTTTAAGTGTTCCCTTTATTTTTTTGAGCAGTGTAGTTTCCACAATACCTGACACAGATCAATGCAAAATACTCACAAGAAAACCTTTTAGTAACAGAATCAGTTTTATCATGGAGAAAATCAGACCTCTCTTTCACTGGTGCTGTTAGCCAAACTACTGGCGAAAAGCAGCATGTCCACTGTTTACCTCTGCCATGTGCATTTGCATCATTTAAATAAATCAAAAATTTGACTATCCATATATCCGAAAAAATGTAATGATATTATTCAAATAGTAAAATAATTTCAAATGCCCATCCCTAGAACAGAGTGCCAGTATTTTGCTAACCGAGTGCAAACCAGTTCTACATGTAGAATATATTACCATGTAATAATGGGTTTACTAGCTACGCCACTCAACATAGATTTTTCATAGTGGGGTTGTATTTCCCCCTAGTGGCCATGCAGTGTAACTGAGTACTGAATTATACTGAATATTGAATACTGCATTTTCTGTAGGGTGCCAGGAGATATCGATGAAGTCAACGCACTTAAGCTTCAGGTCGACCAATGGAGGATCCCAGAAAACCTCTCAGACCCCAACGTACCTGGTGAGGTAGTCTGTACCTCTGTTATCTGTGTGTATGTGCTCGTGTGTGTGTGCGCTAGTGTTAACACTGTCCCTGTCTCCTCCAGCCTCCCTTATGAAGCTGTGGTATCGTGAGTTGGAGGAGCCTCTCATCCCCATGGCCTTCTACAAGCAGTGTGTCAGTAACTATGACGACCCTGTGGCAGCTATCACTGTTGTCCAGTGTCTGCCTGAGCTCAACAGACTGGTGCTGTGCTACTTTATCCACTTCCTGCAGGTAATCATCACACAACACAGAACACTACAGCTAATACACTGTACCTGTCCTGGACACCACTAGACGGTCATACTGACACACAACTATTATCATATTCATTGGTCAGGTAGTTGAAATGGAACAAATTACTACAAACTCATTAATTTGTCAGTAGTCATTTATTGTCTGTATTGTTAATATAGAATATGGTCAATCTCTGTTTCAAGATACTTTACATACTCTCCCTCTGTCCCTCACAATTTCTCTCCCTGTCCCACACTAATTATCCCCAGGTGTTTGCTCAGCCTGCCAATGTGTCTGTTACTAAGATGGATGTCAATAACCTTGCCATGGTGATGGCCCCAAACTGCCTCCGCTGCCAGTCTGATGATCCACGAATCATCTTTGAGAACACACGCAAGGAGATGTCCTTCCTGCGCATGCTCATCATTCACCTGGACACCAGTTTCATTGAGGGCGTTGTATAGACTGACTCCTGACTCCCCTGACATCACATGTGCCCAATGGTCACAGAGAGATTCACTCTGCTTTTCTGAATGAAGCCTGCCCCACTCCATTGATCAGTCCGAAAGCACAAAGCACCAACACATGCACACACACTGGAAATCATACTGTAACGATACAAGAGTTGATCATTTCTATCTTCAAAGTCGGGGCAGGGACATAAGAGAAAACAGGGTTTACACAGATGTCTCACCACTGAGTACTGTACTTAAAGATGTACTCTCAAACTTTGTATAATTTACACCAGTAGTTCTGAATGTGGTGCTCACCAGCCAAAAGCGGTCTCAGTTTTTTGTGTACTACGTCGTCAAGTTGTGTACTTGTCATCAATTTCGTATGATATGTTAAATCCTTCAAATTATTTAAAAAAAATTATGTACAATTTGTATATGTTATGAATCCAAATCATACTATATGTTACGAATTTGTTGTGCTTAAGATCCTGGAGTGTATCTTTAATACTGTCACTTGACATTGGACCCATCCTGTTCTACTTTCTGGCTGCGGAACAATACATATGTGCTGACTGCAGAGGAGACATTGTGTTCTGTGATGGAAACCCCACAATGATGGCACTCAAAAAGACTACAAATTACTTCACATCATAGGCACCGTTATTTACCCAGTTCATTTTGATGACTTTTTTAAATTGCATGTAAAATCTGATTTTCCTCCTACATTTATGACTGAATGTGAAGTGCTATTGTTTCACTGGATATGTGGGCTGTGCAGAAGGAGTCTCATATGTTTTTTACAGGATGGACGTTGTTGTCAGGAAACAGGGCAACTGACAAACAGACCCAGGGTTCCCGCCTTATTTATATCTACAAAGAAACCATGTTGATATTTGGCCTCTTTTGTCAGGCTGTGTGTGTGTCTGTGTTTGATGAGGAAAAACATATATAGAAATAAGCTTGTCTGTGATGTTTTTAGTAGTTGTATTAACAAGACCCTGCATTAGTCTCAATGCTATGTTGATGATTTTATCTGAAGCGGCAGAGTACCACCACAGCTATTTTAATATACTGTACAGTCAGAGCCTACATGTCAAAGTACAAACTGGAAGAAATAAGACCATGTGTTTTGGAGCTTATGTAAAATGCCCTTTTTTAGTGGTCCGTGGAGAGAGTGTTCTGCAATAACAACCTTCTGGTGTTCAACTGCTGAGGAAGGATGTTGTAAATGTATACTGTCTGGTACATGTATGTATTTACATTTTTAAATGTAAAATGTATGTATGTATGTATGTATGTATGTACTGTACTGTGTGTATGGGAGATCTATTCAAGGCGATAAACCAATATCTAATTGAAAAGAGGCATAAACAAATGTATAAAGCACTACTGTCACTTATTTTCTTTGTGGTCTGTAGAACTTTTGGTCAGGTGTTCTGTTAAAACAGGTTTAGTGATAATTGCTCTCTGCTTCCCCCTCTACCTGAAAGTCAGATTTTTACATGCTCCTAAACTATGGATGGGGCACTCTGTCAAGCACTCTGGTGATGTAGATAAGACTCTCCCTGGAGGCTTTGCTAATGTAAATAATGCTTGTAAATAGTAAGATCTCTGGCTCTGTTTTTAAATGATCCAGGGTAAAGGTGAATATTCCTGTTGAGCGAGAAAAATGTGTTTTTGTAATTACTGTTAATTTCCCTGCTAACTATTATGTGAACATAGCCTCTGTTATTCTATGGAAGGATTGTTCATGAAAAATAAAGGTTTGTTTCATTGTAGACCGGTTATCATTAATTTACTGGATTAAGTGTATAACAAAGTTCTCTATTATTGATTGAGTGTATTGCCCCATGGCACTCCCTACAGTCATGTCTGGTCCAAATGTGTTGTATGTTCTGTTTGAGTATTGTCATGTGCATGGTCCTCAGTTCTTTATGGTTGTCATGTCATGGTCCTAGAAAAAAAATGATATTTTTTTTCATAATAATGTAGAGCAGAAGTTTCTAAATAAAGAAAATGTAGCCTATTTCGGAATAAAATAGAGAGCACTTTTCAAGAAATAATAGCATGATAAATGTGCTGTGTGATAAGATGTCGAATAGCCTAGCCTACTATTGATGTAAATTTGCCATTGGAAGTACATGCAGTATAGGCCTACTGTAAAAATAAAACATTAAATTGACTTGTGGTACAAGTCAGAGCCATATACAGTTGCAGCCAAATATATTGGCACCCTTGAAATTCTTAAATAATTCCCTATTTCTTCTCAAATAAGTTGACATTTAGAAAAACTTTTGGTCACTTGTTATTGGATTTTCAACATTACAGAACCAATGTTATTTTTGTAAACTTAAGTTTGCAATTTTAATTAGGAAAATAAAGAAATGTCATGGACAAAATTATTGCCACCATGGAGCTAGTCCTTGGTTGCACAACCTTAGTCCAAGATAACTGCAGACAAACTTCTTATAGCCATCAATGATCATGCTGCACCTTTTGACAATTTGGCCCACTTGTCAGCAGGAACCTGCTCTTATTCTTCAATATTTAAGGGGTGCCCCTCCACCAACTGCTGCTTTCAGATCTCACCATAGGTTTTCGATGTGATTCAGATCTGGGCCCGGTTTCCCAAAAGCATCTTAAGGCTGTTCTTTTTATTTTTTATTTCACCTTTATTTAACCAGGTAAGCCAGTGAAGGCTGTTCAATGTTCAATGGTTCTAACGATGAACTTAGCCTTAAGATGCTTTTGGGAAACCGGGCCCTGGACTCTTCGCTGACCACTCCAGAACAGTCCAGCATCACTTCTTAACCATTCCTGAGTGCTTTTTTATGTGTGTTTGGGGTCGTTGTCCTGCTGGAAGACCGACAACCTTCAATGGAGACACTGGGTTGAACATTGGATTAAAAAACACCTAATCATCTGCTGATTTCATGATGCCTTGCGCACGTCCAAGGTCCCCAGTACCAGAGGCAGCAAAGCAACCCCTCACCATTAATCAAACCTCCCCATCTTTGATTGTAGGGAGGGTTTTATTTTTATTGAATGCTTCATTTGGTCAGTAAACACAGCGCTGATCTCTATTGCCCAAAAAGTCTAGTTTTATTTCATTGGTCCACAGAACATTTTCCCCAGGATTTAGGCTTGTTTAGGTGGGTTTTTGAAAAGTTCAATCAGGCTTTCTTGTGTATCCTTCAGCAGTGGGGTCTTCCTATGTTTACCAACAACCAAATGAAGCGCTCAAAGAAAATAACACCCTCCCTACAATCAATTATGGGGGAGGTTTGATAATGATGTGGGGTTGCTTTGCTGCCTCTGGTACTGGGAGGCCTTGAATGTGTGCAAGACATCATGAAATCAGCATATTATCAAGGTGTTTTGGAGTGCAATGTTCAACCCAGTGTCCACAAATGTATCAGTTGAAGGTTGTGGGTCTTCCAGTAAGACAACAACCCCAAACACACTTAAAAACACCCTGGAATGGTTCTAGAAGAAACACTGGACTGTTCTGGAGTAGCCAGTGAAGAGTCCAGATCTGAATCACATCCATAGCCTATGGTGAGACCTGAAACAGCAGTTGGAGGGCACCCCTAAAACGTTGAAAAATTAGAACAGTTTTCTACTGAAGAATAAGCCGAATTGCCAGTAGAAAGGTGCAACTAAAATAAGCATTTGTTGGCAGTTATCTAGGCCAAAGGCTGTGCAACCAAGTACTAACACAGTTTACAAAAATAACATTGGTTCATGAAACTTTACAGTTGGCACTATGCATTGAGGCAGGTAGCATTTTCCTGGCATCCGCCAAACCCAGATTCATCCGTCGGACTGCCAGATTGTGATGTGTGATACATCACTCCAGAGAACAGGTTTCCATTGCTCCAGAGTCCAATGGCGGCGAGCTTTACACCACTCCAGCCGACGCTTGGCATTGCGCATGGCGGCTGCTCGGCCATGGAAACCCATTTCATGAAGCTCCCGACGAACCGTTGTGCTTACGTTGCTTCCAGAGGCAGTTTGGAACTCGGTAATGACTGTTGCAATCAAGGACAGACGATTTTTAAGCGCTATGCGCTTCAACACTCAATGGTCCCGTTCTGTGAGCTTGTGTGGCCTACCACTTCGCGGCTGAGCCATTGTTTCTCCTAGACGTTCCCACTTCACAATAACAGCACTTACAGTTGACCGGGGCAGTTCTAGCAAGGCAGAAATTTGACGAACTGACTTGTTGGAACGGTGGCATCCTATGACGTTGAAAGTCACTGAGCTCATCAGTATGGGCCATTCTACTGGCAATGTTTGTCTATGGAGATTGCATGGCTGTGTGCTCGATTGTATACACCTGTCAGCAACGAGTGTGGCTGAAATAGCTGAATCCACTAATTTGAAGTGGTGTCCACATACCTTTGGTCGTGTATATATGTTGATTTGGGCCAATGCGGTTTATGCATTTACATGACACTTGAACATAGCAGCCATGTTAGCTCCCTATTAACATTACATGGGGAATATTGAATCAATGCTTTTTAACTGAATGTGTAGAAATAGAACAACATTCAAAATTCTAAAAGTTGGCCTATTATATATATATATATATATATATGGCTCTGGTACATGTAGCCTCTACCATGCACCTCTGTGAAGCGAGAACAGAAGGTCCTTTTAATAATTGCACATGCGTAGTTGCGTGCCAGTCGCCGGTAGTGTGACTCGAGTGCATCAGGAAGAAAAATTCAACTGCGTGCACTGGAATCAGATGCGGAGGCACCACACGAAAATATTTTATCGCTCACTGTGCACATCACCATCGGAAAGAGTATCCAGAAATCAAGGTAACATTTGATGCAACATTTAGTCTTAGTATTTGCAACATAATAGCAAAAGGATTTATGCATCAATAACACAAAATATTGTGAATGCTGCTTGTGCTTCCTGAGTTCTAAACAAATAACTTTAAATGACTTGTAATGTAGATTTATTTTGCCTTATGGATATCTTATACAGTTTATATTGTTTGGCGTAAGGTTGACTCGTAATTGTTTTTCTGGCGGGTTCGGCAGCTGCAGGGAAGTTCAAAATGCTTTATTTCCATGCAGTATTTAGTACGGTAAGAAAAGTGTGGCCTACAGAGGCCCCGCGATCACCTTATGAATGACAGCCTGAATGGCCTGTAAGATTTCTAAAGCCCGCCCCAATCAGACCCCTTAACCAATTAGCTTTGTTCAAATCACTGACGAACTACAGTGTAATATATTGAACACTCCCACTCCTTACAGAATATCGGACAATAAGGTTTCAGAAAGTAGTCAACAAACGCGAGTTTTGCCGTCGTGAATTGTATAAAATCCTACGCATTTTATTTGAGCCTCACTTTTGAGTGGATGCTGCGTGATTGCTTAAACGCAGAACGAGCAGACAGCGCTCCCAAAATTATGGGGATAAAAAACATGGCATAGCAGGGCAGGATTAGGCTATGTTTCGATATTTTTTCTGCTTCTATTCTTAGGCTACATAGTACATTTAAAGCCATGGACTATTAGTAGGCCTTTAGTTGAGGCTGCAAGGTCCAAATTGAAGGTTATTTTCACCCTTTATCAGGTGTAGTATAAACAACAGATGTGTATTGCGCGCCATTTGCTTCATTTGATTGTGGTCGCTTCCGTGCGTTTTGAGCGACACAACGTCAGTCCAACAAATAATAATACCCTATTCATTCACAAGTGCTTTGTCGGAATAGGTGTGTTTATTGAACCTACATAGCCCTACGGTAGGTTCGTGTTATTCAACTGGCCTATCTACATAACTAGCTTCATCTAATTTCAGAGACCATTGCTATTGTCTCCCATTGTTTCAATACGTGGAATGTTCGCCTGACCAGAACACGTGGTTTGCCAAGTAGTGTGAAGATATCCGGCTACTAGCTAGGTTGCATTGAAATGGAATATGCTCAAAGTCTCTCCCCAAAGGTGAGTTTGGCCTCCCCAAAGTAGGATAATGTATTGCATAGAAATGCTTAGAATGTTGTGTTTCCTGGTGTTTTGAAAATGATTGTGTTTGACTGGGATAGAGAGGATACAAAGTATCCAGGGCGCGAGACAACAATGTAACGCTATGCAATGGACCAGACAATGGACCGGTTTGAGTAGCAGTGCATATCTTTTATTTGAGCAAATTTCATCATCAACATGAACATTTTAGTAAAATTGCCAAAATTATAATGAATCATCACACTTTGTGATCACCCCGGGTGGACAAAAAAATAGGGATAAAGAATAGACTGTGGGAATTTCATAGAGTGCTGCCCACGTCTTCGAAAGTGTTCTGGCACTTGACCTCGTTTATTAGGCTACTGCCTGCAGAATATGCTCAATACGTGAATTAGACAGCATTCATGTAAAAATACAGAATAGACTGTCGGAATTTCACAGCGTGCTGCCCACATCTTCGAAAGCTTTCTGGCACTTGACCTCATTTATTAGGCTACTGCCTGAAGAAAGATGCTCAATACGTGGATTAGACAGTATTCATGTAAAAATCGATGGAGTCTTTCATAAGGGTTGCATGCAGAAGCTTCAAAGAGGAAGGTTTGCGTGCTGGTATGCCCTGGATGACCGGTTTCTATTCATCTCCTCAATTTAAGTAGCATCCTTTGTGAAGCAAGCAGGTGGCCATAGGTTGAGATCTGAGGTAGACATTAGGCATATAGGGGTTTCTTTGCCAAGTGTTCAGATACATTTGATATCATAAAGGGTTCATAAACCCTTAAAGTCCTTTGGAAATCATTCAAAACGAATATCAAGCTATATGAAGGGTGTCAATGGTTATGCCATCTTTGGAAGAGCACCAGATGTAAGGGAATTTTACGTCACCTTTTATGTAGCTTGCTTATAAAGCGTCTATGTAGTGCTTATGATAATGACTACTTTGTGGATGCTCTATAATGCCTTAAAGTTAAGTTTCTACAATGTTCACACGTGTCTTTGGATGAAACAAACTAAGATATAGCTTAGAACTATAGTTTTTCAACACACCTTTTAGACTTGGGGCTAAATTCCACTGCCAACATTGTTCCACCAGTGTTTCCGCTGTATTCATTTAGCAGTGGCACACCAAATTATTTAATACATTTTCGTGATGGAAAAACGCTTTCAGTGTAAACTTAAATGACTAAACCCAGACAAAGAATGTAGAAAATAAAATTGACCTATATATTTTTGAATAATATCATCTTTGAGAACTAGAAATCGCCTAAATATAATCTAGACACAGGGAGAAATTAGGAGTGTTTTTGGGATGGCTGGATTACTGATGGGCCACGCAGGGTACATGACCAGGGGCCCCGATTGGGGTCCCCATTGGTTTTGTTATAATGTTCTATACATTTTAGCCATGGCAAAAATGTATAGAATTGCAGGAAATAGGAAAACAGCCAATTTTTCTCTCTGCTGCCAATTCCGGACTGATTTAAGCCGCGCCCACAACCCCCATCCCCCATGCCTGGTGGGATCCCCTCGTGTGGTCCTGAGTGGCTCAGTGTGTAGAGCATGGTGCTTGTAACGCCAAGGGTCCTGGGTTCGATTCCCTCTGTCGGCCACCCATATATAAAATGTATGCATGCATGATTGTAAGTTGCTTTGGATAAAAGCGTCTGATAAATGGCATACAGTACCTTCGGAAAGTATTCAGACCCCTTTTTCCACATTTTGTAAGGTTACAGCCTTATTAAAAAATGTATTAAATTGTTTTTTTCCCCTCATCAATCTACACACAATACCCCATAATGACAAAGCAGAAACAGGTTTTTAGACATTTCTACATAAGTATTCAGACCCATTACTCAGTACTTTGTTGAAGCACCTTTGGCAGCGATTACAGCCTTGACTCTTCTTGGGTATGACGCTACAAGCTTGGCACACCTGAATTTGGCGAGTTTCTCCCATTCTTCTCTGCAGATCCTCTCAAGCTCTTGTCAGGTTGGATGGGGAGTGTTGCTGCACAGCTATTTTCAGGTCTCTAGAGATGTTAGATCAGGTTCAAGTCCGGGCTCTGGCTGGGCCGCTCAAGGACATTTAGAGACTTGTCCCGAAGCCACTCCTGCGTTGTCTTTGCTGTGTGCTTAGGGTCGTTGTCCTGTTGGAAGGTGAACCTTCGCCCCAGTCTGAGGTCTTGTGGTTCTCTGTAGCTCAGCTGGTAGAGCACGGCGCTTGTAACGCCAAGGTAGTGGGTTCGATCCCCGGGACCACCCATACACAAAAAAAAATGTATGCACGCGTGACTGTAAGTCGCTTTGGATAAAAGCGTCTGCTAAATGGCATATTATTATATTTATTATAGGTCCTGAGCGCTCTGGAGCAGGTTTTCATTAAGAATCTCTCTGTACTTTGCTCTGTTCATTTTGCCTCAATCCTGACTAGTCTCCCAGTCCCTGCCTCTGAAAAACATCCCCACAGCATGATGATGCCACCACCATGCTTCACCGTAGGGATGGTGCCAGGTTTCCGCCAGACATGACACTTGGCATTCAGGCCAAAGAGTTCAATCTTGGTTTCATCAGACCAGAGAATCTTGTTAGTCATGGTCTGAGTCTTTAGGTGCCTTTTGGCAAACTCCAAGCGGGCCGTGATGTGCCTTTTTACTGAGGAGTGGCTTCCATCTGGCCACACTACCATGATGGCCTGATTGGTGGAGTGCTGCAGAGATGGTTGTCCTTCTGGAAGGTTCTCCCATCTCCACAGAGGAACTCTAGAGCTCTGTCAGAGTGACCATTGGGTTCTTGGTCACCTACCTGACCAAGGCCCTTCTCCCCCGATTGCTCAGTTTGGCTGGGCGGCCAGCTCTAGGGAGAGTCTTGGTGGTTCCAAACTTCTTCGATTTAAGAATGATGGAGGCCACTGTGTTCTTGGGGACATTCAATGCTGCAGACCTTTTTGGTACCCTTCCCCAGATCTGTGCTTTGACACAATCCTGTCTCGGAGCTCTACGGACAATTCCTTCGACCTCATGGCTTGGGTTTTGCTTTGACATGCACTGTCAACTGTGGGACCTTATATAGACAGGTGTGTGCCTTTCCAAATCATGTCCAATCAAGTTGTAGAAACATCTCAAGGATGGTCAATGGAAGCAGGATGCACCTGAGCGCAATTTCGAGTCTCGTAGCAAAGGGTCTGAATACTTTGTTTTATTTTTAATACATTTGCAAATGGGGTATTGTGTGTGGATTTATTCCATTTTATAATAAGGCTGTAACATAACAAAGTGGAAAAAGTGAATACTTTCCGAAGGCACTGTATATTATTGTTTCTGTATTTATGTAATTCCCTTCTCTCTCATCCATATAGTCAAGCCTCATCCTGTTTTCTCTCCTCTCTTCCTGGCAGTCCCCTCACCAAAATGACTAAGGCCCCTAGCACCAATGTTTGCTTTCACTTTCCCCTAATGTGATTCATTATGTAACAAGTAGACTCTGATCAAAATAAATTAAGAAAAAGGACAAAATTCTCTACTGATTATGGAGTCAGTCCTTCTATCTAAGCCAGTTCGCTCTAAGCCAGTCTCTAGCAACTCTGGTTATTTTTACTATGACCTTATGTAGGAGCTGCACCATAGCATTTTAGGTACTAGAATGATGTGTTTCTGGTGTTTAACCAGGTAGAACTTTGTATGTGTGCCTGTCAGCAGGAGGTGGATGTGGACACGATGAGCAAGACACCCCCTAACAGAAGAGGAATAACGTTTGAGGTGGGAGCAACGCTAGAGGCCAGAGACGCCCTCAAAAACTGGTGAGTCACGCTTCAGTTCCTCTCTCACTCTTTCTCTTTGTCAGTACATTGTCTTTCTCTACCTGCAATCTATCTCTTTGTTGCTTTCCTCAGCTCCTTTTCAGTCTCTTTCTCTCTCTTTCTGCTATTCTCTGTTATCCTCTCTTATTACCTATACACCAATTATCTCTTGTCTTCCAGTTGAGTTCCTTTGCTCCCAACTCAATCACCCCTCTCGTATATATCCCCTGCTCCTAGGTATCCGGCCAACATAGAGAAGATTGACTATGATGACGAGAAGGTCCTGATCCACTACCGTCAGTGGAGCCACCGCTATGACGAGTGGTTTGACTGGACCAGCCCCTACCTGAGACCTGTAGAGAGGATCCAGCTGAGACGACAGGGACTGCTGGACGACTGTCCTATCCCTGTAAGAGATGTACTCTATTTAATTACTTATTCTCCCTACTATATTCCTACTGATTGCTCTACTTAGCTTTACCTGGCCTTCTGTTTTCTCCGCCTACTTCTATTGGATTTCATTTGCTCAGGCTGATACTGGATCCATGTTTGACAGTGACACTTCATTTCATCTGTCTGTCCAGGGATTTCATGTGAATGACAAGGTCCTCGCCAGTTGGTCTGATTGCCGCTTCTACCCTGCCAAGGTCTTGGCAGTGAATAAAGATGGTGAGTGGTTTGGAAGTACACTCATATGCATATTGAAGAGATTTATGGATTCTGTTCAGCATCAACGTGATCCATCTGATCTCCATTTGCCCTCAGCATCTTACACCGTGAAGTTTTATGATGGAGTCGTCCAGACGGTGAAGGGGATCCATGTGAAGCCTTTTGTCAGAAAGGTGAGCTCTTTGTTTCCTTCTCTCATCAGGGACTATAAATAGTTGTTTTTGCCTGCTCAAAGGGCATTTATCTGTTCATATTGTGTTGGCTTGCCATGCAGAGGGTCACGTTTCTGTGGGTTGTACTTTGCCTAATTTTCCTCTCTTTTCATCCCCCTCTCTTCGTGGAAATAGAGAGGAGGAGGGAAGACTCGGTCTGCTGAGAGGAACGGAGTCAAGAAGCCCCAGAATGGCAGAGACAAGAGGCCTCAGGAATACGGCCCCAAGAACAAAAGAACCAGACGCAGTACCTCTGACCAGGAGGGGGACAGTGACACAGAGGATGGTGATGATGAAGATGATTGGCACGAGAGGGAGGGGGAGGAGAAGACCAAGAGGAAGGATAGTGAGGGGGACGTCACCAAAGAGAGACCACCCATAGTTAAGCAGGAGGAGGATATAGAGCAACATGCAGGACAGAACAACCTCAGGGATCACATGACAGCCACTGTGGACCCGACTGGAGTAAAAGTGGAAGAAGACGGAGGACAGAGTGAGGAGAGGCCTACTCATAATTTAAATGAAGGTATAAAGAAAGAAGAGGAGGAAATAAAAACTGTGTACACAGTCCTGAGTTCACCTAATGAAACTAAGCCACCCATTGAGTCACCCAATCAGATGTCAACACAGACCGGGCCAGTGTCTGTCCCATTACCCTCAGCTATCCCCACCAATGACAGAGTGGAGCAGAAGGCAGCAAGCCAACCGGATAGCTCCAAACCTGCACTGCTGGTCCTCCCAGTGAAACGTAAGGCCACACAACTTTTCAGAAAATCACTATCCAAAAGGCCTCCTTATATTTCCAATGAATGGAAGCGGTCAGTACACTCATATTTAGAGGTTCTGTCCATTTTAGAGGTTTATTTTCTCACAAGTCGTCAAAATAGTATAAAAGGTTTGAAACTAGATTTATGAGAATTCTAAGTGGAATGTTTTAATTTGTGTTGAATGTCGTCAGTCAGTGACTGTCAGTTTTTAATTTGTGTTGAATGTCGTCAGTCAGTGACTGTCAGTTTATATGGTCTATGTCTTTATTTCCAGCGATAAGGAAGCAGGGTTTCCACAACCCGAACAGATTTAGCAGAGAGCCATGTGAGTTCTCGCCCTGCACTCTGTTACATCATTCAGTCTATCAGTTTACATAAGTGTCTCTCTACTCCTAGCTGTTTGTCCATCCTCTCTTACACTTCTCCATTGTTTTTTCAGTGTACAGAGTGATCAAAAACCAGCCTCCCCCGGTCCTGTCCATCAACTTGGACCACAACCCATTTAAATGCAGCGCTGTAGGCTGCACCAAGTCATTCCGCAAGGCCAAGCTGCTTCACTACCACATGAAATACTACCATGGAGAGGACCAGCAGCTAGAGGACGACCTCAGCCCCACCAGGAGCGTCCATACCCGGGCCTCAGAGAAGCACCCCTCCCCTAACTCTCTGGAGAGTCCTAAGAGGAGACGCACCATCTCCGCCTCAATGCGTAAGTGTCAAGAAAGGGCCATAGCTACATGATAGATTCACCCAAAGAGGAAATCGGTTTTAGTCATAGTATTGTGTTTTTCTACGCCTGGCAGACTCCACTGTGCACAGTCCTACTAGAACTCCCCCGTCTCCACGTAGTGAGGCCAAGACAATGAACAGACGCACATCAGCTCCATCTGCTGTCAACACCCAGCGCCAGCAGCAGAGGGCTCTACTGAGGGAGAAGAGCAAAGAGAACCAGCTGGACAGGAATGGACAGAGACCGGTGGAGACAGAGACTACTGAGAGCAGTGGTATGGACATATGTCTGTGTAAGATGTGGAAAGACATGAAGAGAAGGCTTAAATGAAAAATCCACTCAACTATATTTTGGTATTTTTTTCTCCATTTCTCCACACTGTTAATAGGCAGCCCCCTGCACCTCTCGGATTGAGGGGTTGGGTTAAATGCGGAAGACACATTTCAGTTGAATGCATTGTTGTACAACTGACAAGTATCCCCCTTTCCCTTCCCTAATACATGTCAGCAGTCAAGTGTTCAAGGTATTGACTTTTAAGAAGCAAAGTGTCACTTGCCACATCATGATGATGAGAAAGCATTAAAAGACGCAAAACACATCATTATGATGTGGCAGGTGACAGTTTGCTTCTTGAAAATCCTATATCTTGAAAACATTTTGGGACTCTTATCAACAGTGGACTAATGAAAAAAAATACCCAAAGATAGTTTTTGAGTGGATTTTTCCTTTAAATAGGCCTTTGGCTTTGAGCAAATGTGTAGCTATCTTTGCTGATTTCTGATCAAAGATTCACTTTCTCTTAACATGACACAACAGGATTATTGAGAAATTGTGCATGCTCCAGTGTTTGTGGTGGCGGAACACGCCTTCAGACTCTAGAGCACTCTCCTAACTCTTGGTTCCCCCTGTGTCACTCCAGCATTGGTGAAAGAACGAGATCGGCTGAAAGATAAGAAACAGAGGGACTTCCTTCGCATTAATCTGAAGAAGAAGAAAAAGAAGAAAAAGAAGGCCAAGTTTGGTAAGGAGACCCTAGTAATCCTACTGTTCTGCATGGGGCTCCTGTCATATAGCTTTAGCTAGGCTGCATGTGCAACGCTTCATTCAGGCCATGGGAAGGCCCCTGAGATATTTCATTCACGCCGCTTGGTAGGTGTGGTGTGTTCTTTTTACCCTTATTTTACCAGGTAAGTTGACTGAGAACACATTCTCATTTACAGCAACGACCTTGGGAATAGTTACAGGGGAATGAATGAGCCAATTGGAAGTTAGGGATGGTTAGGTGACCGCCAGATTGGGACTTTAGCGAGGACACTGGGGATAACACCCCTACTCTTACGATAAGTGCTATGAGATCTTAAGTGACCACGAGAGTCAAGACACCCGTTTAACGTCCCATCCGAAAGACTGCACCCTATCACTGCCTTGGGGGGTTGGGGATATGTTTTTTAGACCAGAGGAAAGAGTGCCTCCTACTGGCCCTCCAACACCACTTCCAGCAGCATCTGGTCTCCCATCCAGGGACTGACCAGGACCAACCCTGCTTTGCTTCAGAGGCAAGCCAGCAGTGGGATGCAGTGTGGTAGGGGTGGGGCTGTGTGTGGGAGTAGCACTACAACTGCTGTGTCCTCACTACTGACCTACGTCACTTCATCAGTCAAATAGCCGCTGCTAATTTTTGTTTGCATCACTGGCTGATGATTTACACATCTTTTGGCTCATGTTTGGTTCATATAAAACACAGGCCTTTATTATGGTTTTATTAACCATCTCACTAATCTGTGTGAACTCTACTGCTAGGCACAAGCTACTGTGACTGCACTTTTGTAACCAAGTTTGAACCACTATTGGTCTATTGACCTAGTTCAAATTCACTCTGTGTGGATCTGTGGATGACACTTGTTATAACCCACAGTATTAAGAGGATGGTTTATTCACTGTGTACATTCACACACAATTAGACTTTATTTAGACTGTTTTGGCCAGTTCAGCTCTCAGAAACACTCAAGTAGAGGTGTTTTGTGGACACAAGTTTACCGTTTTGTTGTCTTTGTTTAAGGACATATTCTCACACCCATAATAGTATCTTCAGCTGTGAACATCAATCGTTTTTTTGTTTCATATATTGTCTGTTTGACCCCCCCCCCCCCCCCCCCCCCCCACAAAAAAAAAATAGTAGCTCTTGTTTGTCCTCATCAGCATTTCCAAGGTTGACATATTTTGTTCTGCGTCTGCTTCCCCCTCCCTCCCCTTTATTAACAGAGTACACAGGTAGTGAGGAGAATATTGACATCTCAATATTCGCTCTTCAGTCCAAATTGAATTTGCCACTCAAATTCCCCCTCTCACACAATCACAAGCCTGAGTCCTACCACTGCAGGCCCGGATACAACCAGTCAATGCAGATGCACGTGGATGGTGGGTATTATTGTGTGTCTGTGTATGTCTATGAGTGTGTGTGTCACTCTCTCCCCTTTGCCATTATTCTTTGCCTGGTTTCAGTCCATAAGTAATTTGTTCTTTGCGTCTACCTGTGTATATTTTCCATTCTGTATCAAACCGATCTTGCTAATCATGTTCCACACTTTCTGGCTGGACAAGCAAACAAACTAGACCTGTTGTCACAGTTGAGGACCGATTCTATGGTTTATTGATTGAATCCGGGGCCTTTTCTTTGCTGCTATGGCTTGCTTTATTCTAATCAGTTTGTTATATGTACGACTCACGGAGCTATGCATAAGGGATATACTGTATGTTACAATGCTGTAGATGAAATGATCTATAGTTTCCTCCTATATTTCTACCATGGAGAACTCTTTCTCGCTCTCTCTGCTGGTGTTGCAATAATCTCTAGATCAAACACATCAGTTACATCCTGATGATATATCCTGGGGACTTACGTTGAGAAATATACTGTTTGGTATGAAACCAGCTCATGGAGGAAATATAGATGTGTATGTAGTTTTCCATCCCTTGATTTCCCCTCCAGATGAGGATAGCATCAGTGATTGGTCCACTGACAGTTGTGAGTGGAGTGATGATGAGCTGGGGGCGGAGCTGGACAATACTACACCACCCCTAAATCTGGGCTCTGTTGCCTTGGAGACAGGCAGTCAGGAGGTTGTGCGTTGCGTCTGTGAGGCGGAAGAGGAAAACGACTTCATGATACAGGTGAGCTGTCTTGGGGGTTTACCTGACTAGCCCTAACCTGCCTCCAATACACATACTTGAGACTGAAATAAATGTTGATGGCAATCCACTAGTCTCTCAATCATTTAAATCAATCAAATTTGTCAAACTGCACCTAACTAAAGGCCTAGCCCAACTCTGCTTTAAAAGCAAGCTCAGGCCAACAGTTAGCAGCAGGGGGAAAACTCAGTTTGATAGTGTTGCCTTGTCTCTCATCTCCTCAGTGTGAGGAGTGTCTGTGCTGGCAGCATGGCACCTGCATGGGCCTCCTGGAGGACAACGTCCCAGAAAAATATGCCTGCTACATCTGCAGAGACCCACCAGGTGAGAGCCAGCAACACACAACTGGGCTTGCTAGAAACTCCATCTCCGGTTTCTCCTTGGGGTTACTTGGGAGGGGGGGGGGGTTAACACAAAACAAGACAAGCCAGTACATTTAACTGTGGTTTTTGTGGATGTGTCTTATTGTAATAGGAATTTCCAGGTGAACAAAAAGGAGAGCAGTCCTTGGTAAAGTCAATCAAAAATCAATCCGGTTTATTACAAATTACAACAGGGAGACACCTCCAGCCCAGAAGCAGAGACAATGTCTAACTGGCCTCCTGGAGACAGGACCTTTTTACTCTAATCAGACGGCACCAAATGTTCTCTAAACACCAGCCCGAGAGGCTTGTAGGAAGTCGAAACAAAAGGCAATGACTTTGCCAGCTGCTACAGAATCACAGTGTTTATAATGTCATCAATCAAATAATAATCAGTGTCCTCGGTCCTTGTATCTTCAGTAGCTCTGGCTTCAATCACTATCAACAGATATGAGAACAATCCATAACATTCAGTATCAAGTCTAGTGACCATCATCCCAGACACAAATGAGTGTCACAAATAGAATGCTAGAAATCGTGTATTACAAGAAAGGGAAAATATATAAATATGCAAACATTGTTAATCACTCTAAACTGAATATTAACTTTTCACTGTACATTTTCCCCATCACACTTATGATATCACGTGACCTCTGTTCCAGGTCAGAGGCAAAGCCTGCGGTACCGGTATGACCGTGATTGGCTGAGCAGCGGTCACATGTACGGTCTATCCTTCCTGGATGAGAACTACTCCCACCAGAATGCGAAGAAGATTGCAGCAACACACCAGCTACTAGGAGACGTACAGCGTGTGGTGGAGGTGCTCAATGGCCTCCAGCTCAAGATGAGCGTCCTACAGTAAGTAGTGTTGAATAGAATGGAAAAACTATACACTAATATGAATCAATATCTAATATCCTTATGAAATGTATACGGTCTGGATGGAGTCTGATTGTCCCTGTGTGCCCCTGTAGGACCCAGACCCACCCGGACCTGCAGCTGTGGTGCCAGCCCTGGAAGCGGGCAGAGAGGCCCTGGAGGAGAGGTGGCTCGGGGACGGGCACAGATGCAGCACCCTCTCCCGCGCCAACAGACGAGGGCTCCGAGAGGGACCACAAGAGTCTCGCCCGTGGGGGCGCAGAAGCTCTGATGTCAGCCGCCATGGAGAAGCTTAGCCGAGCCTCCTCTTCCTCCTCGTCGTCTTCCTCCTCACCCTACCAGTCGTTCCAGGACTCGTACATCTTGAGTGAGCACTGCTACCAGAAGCCGCGGGCATACTACCCTGCAGTGGAGCAGAGGCTGGTGGTGGAGACCACACGGAGGGGCTCTGAGCTGGAGGACAGCCTGAGGAGCACAGAGGACCTGCTGGAGAGAGAGCAGCGCTATGGAGGCATGCTGGAGACAGCCAGGCCCAAAGCCCACACACACCTGAACACTCGCACCAAGGTCCGTTCTGTTTCAGACTTCAGACATTCGTCTTCAACACCTCTATCTCTACCTGTCTTGTCTATATATGTTGTACCATCTATCTATCTATACATCCCACATACACTATAGAGTGGTTGATACTCTAAAAAGTTAACTTTATGACTGAATCCTCTTTCCCATGTCTCCAGGGTTCAGATGTTGGTCGGTGGGGCCAGGCTGAGGTGAAGCGGGAGGAGGGTGTTGGCTGCGGTGGGGGAGGGGACGTAGATGGCAGTGGCCAGCAGCACCAGTGGCAGATCAACCTGCTGGATCACATAGATGCTGTACAGGACGAGGTCACTCACAGGATGGATTTCATCGAGAGGGAGCTGGATGGTGAGACAACATAGCCCCTCTGTTTTCTGTTTATTAGCAAGGAAGCATTTTGTAATGCCACAGATTGTATATGTACAGTGAATAAGAAAGAATTTCAAGCAAAACAAGTCAACTGAAGACAGTAGCTTCTTTCTTATCCATCACAAAATTGTAGCCACAATAAATGAACCTATTTCTTATTGCCACATAGGTGAAGTGTGTTGTTTTACAGGGTCAGCCATAGTAGTATGGCGCCCCTGGAACAAATTTGGGTTAGGTGCCTTGCTCAAGGGCACATCGACAGATTTTTCACCTTGTCGGCTCGGGTATTCAAACCAGCAACCTTTCGATTACTGGCCAAATGCTCTAACCGCTAGGCTACCTGCCGCCCTAATAATGACCTCTCAGCTATGTATTGTGGATTTAACATGAGTAATTGACAGTGTTCCATCTTTCCTCCTCAGTGTTGGAGAGCTGGCTGGACTACACAGGAGAGCTGGAGCCCCCAGAGCCTCTGGCCCGCCTGCCTCAGCTCAAACACCGCATGAAGCTGCTGCTTACAGAGCTGGCCAAGGTGCAGCAGATCGCCCTGTGCTGCTCCACATAAGGGCGCCAGTGAGCAGTGTGACATCCATGTTCACCGCTGTTCACAGCACTCCGAGAGACAATGAGGGGATTCGATTAATGCCCCGTGTGAACCGGGTCAGCATTGATTGCATTTGTTTTGGAACTGGGCTGCCTCCCGGACGTGAGCCAGGTGTTCCATTTTGGCATACCGCGAAGTCGGCTCAAAACAAAAGTGATGTAATGAGTAGGGTTCTGTGTTTTTACATGCAAAGGTGATTGCTTTTGAGAAGAAGGCTTTATCTGCCTTCCCAATGAAAATGAGTTTGAAAATTCAAACATTTTATGGAAAATATATATGTATGTTTCTGAACGATGCACCACTGGGCACACACTGGTTGAATCAACATTGTTTCCATGTCATTTCAATTAAATTATGTTGAACCAAAGTGGAATAGATGTTGATTTGGCGTCTGTGCCCAGTGGGATGCTGCCTTGTTGACAACATGACCGAGTGGCGCAGATTACGGTTCAATTTGAGAAGGGTGCTCCTCCCTCACCGCTTTTACCCGTCACAGGCCATAGCCCGGTGCACTTAATTGAACTCCCTCATTGCAGTCGAGAGCAGCACTCACTGGTCTATCTATGGCATTGGGGTGTTGGACTGAGGAGAAATTACCAGATAATTTAATGCAAATGCACTTATTTTCATTATACTGTAGGCTGGTGGGAGCATCTCACGTCATGGGGTTGAATGCTTCAGGATGTAGGTTGGTGTTCCTCTTTAAGGCCTCTAGTCTGTACAGGGAAAAGCCCACAGAATGGAAGTGTACTGTATCATAGTCAAACAACATACAGTTGGTAATGGATGGAGTCAATACAAGAGAGAAACAACAGGGACAGTTCATGGTTGTATGGGTTTGTTGGTGCAAACCTGCATCATATTAATGCCTTGGTCTGAGGTTCAGTTTGGCGCTTGCTGTCAACTACTCTACAAATTGCTGAGCTATAGTGTGTATTCAAAGACCTCACCTGAACTTCTGATAGGCATACTTTTAATCTTCATAATGACAACTTTCAGTAACTGACAACACTTTCCTTGGAGCTATATTCTGCAACATTTTTTCCTTTCTGTAAAGTACTTAGTATTTGATTGTCTCCCATTGCATAATTGTTAAGCTTATGTTTGTTGAACATGTGGACTGTTTTACATAGCAGAGCCGTAATATTAGGGCCGGGACGATACCAGTATCTCGATACTCATTTAGTGCCATGGCAAGGAAACAAAACACTAAGTGGATTGAACTTCTTTAGGAAAACAGCCCTAATGTTAGAAACAAACATCATTATGTCATTATCCAGAGTCACATTTATTTATATTTCAAGCTATAGCACACAATATTTTACATGCAGCAGGCTTTTAAAGGATCAACGAGTGAAGTCTGCTTCGTTTTTTTCATTTTTGCCATGGAAAATGTTTTGCGATACTGGTATCGTCACAGCCCTACTTAATAAGGTTTTAAATAGGGAGTGAAAATACAAACTATATTCTTATATAATGGCACTGTAGATAAGTACTGTCTTTCTGATTTTACGCAGTGAATTATATTGCTACAGCTTATACAGGTTTATACAGTTAGTGTCTGTATTATAGACACTGGAGGGACAGTATCATACAGTTTGACGAGTGAAGTTTCTGGATTTTTGTTTCAATATTGTTTTAAATGGGTTTGGTTTCTTTCCATTCTCATTGTTTTCTTGTGGATATCCTCTATCCTATTCACTCTCGTCTCGATGTCTTTGGACGAATTCCTGGCCGACTACATTGCAGACGTATGCCAGATCATAGAAAGCCTGTATAGGTATTTCACATTTTAGTTAGCCACATCAAATGATCTAGCAATCTGGTGCCCGACTGCACGGTTGATGACATGGCACACAACCATTGGTTGATGCAATGCAACACCTGCCCATGTAGCCGGGTAGGAACTCGACCTTCAACTTTGCTTCACTGTAGCATTTGACCTTTGGCTTGCTACAAATATTTGTAGAGATGTCTGCTATGACCTCAGCATTATGTGCTCTGTTCTCAGTGAAAAAGACTTGTGACGGACCTATACATTTTAATGTTCTTGTATTTCACTTGTACTGTTTATTTGCAATATTTTGTATTTTTAGTGTAAATACATTTGAATATGTTCTTTTCTTGGGATGAATTTGTATTGATAGTTATTTTTAAACAGTCCTACAAAAATAACCATACCTTACTAGTGTCAGCCAGGTTAAGAACCAAACGAGATGTTGAAAGAAATGCAACAGATGCTGATATATAAATAAACTACTATCTCTCCCATTGATATGAATACTGTCGATCTGTCTGAGGAGTACAAAACATGGTTTTGAACAAATCAATTGTGCTCTCTTGACCACACACATTTCAGCACAAATCCCCCCCCCCACATTTTTTTTTTTAAATTTACATACAGGTAGCCTAGTATAAAGTCTCTTGTTTTCTATCCCTTTCTCAATGCATGTTGGTTGTCGCCCTCATTTCATGAGGATTTGAAGGAAACCGTTCTGCTGATCTCTACATTTATACAGCTGGTCTGGAAATACAACTTGAAAACATGTCGGAAATTTAGATCAAAAAGTTTTATGTAACATGTTGCAGCAGCAGCACAGCCTGTTTGTATGCTTATACAATCAGTTGAGGATTGAAAATAGAAACTCCATGTGAATTCTAAGCGCATAATCTCCGAGAAATGGGTCAACAACACAGTGATGGGAATGATGGGCCCCCATCTAAGAAAAAAAAAAAGTGAACTGTACACGTTATTTAGACATCATCTTCTCAGTTAACCTCTTGGGGGCGTTCGAATAAATTTGTACTGCCTCCTCTCGTATTGGCTGCTTCGTTCGCTTCTCGTGTCCTCCCTAATGTCTAGGACGCAATGTGTAGTTCCGCCTTGAAAGAGTGACATCGAAATAGTAATACTAGTTGGAATAGGAAAGGAATTAGGCAAAGAGAAGGTGCAGTTTAAACACTGGTATTTAACCCTAAAATCTATCCCGGAGGATTTGACGCGGATCGAACGGATACGTCTTCAACCCAAGCGGTAAGTGTTGATCGAGACAGCATTTTCTAATAGGCTGCTGTGCCAAATGCAGATGTGGCCATTGGTGTCGATAATCCACCAGCTCGCGGTGTAATCTTGATATGATATTCTATATCCATTTTCCAACCAGTTCTAATGTAGGCCTAGGTAATTTCTATGAGTAGCCTAAATTAAACATCACAGTTGTATCATTCCGCGATTCTGCGGACTTTACATTGAAACAATTAAATGAAACAATGAAAACGGGTGTTTTGATACTAAAGTGTCATGGTGCATGCAGGACATGAAATGCATTGCAACTTTGTAACTGAACTACTATTCACTTTAATGTTTCCTCTAACACGATTCGCTGCTGCGACAGTAGCCCATTTGTAGGATACAATTTCCTGTTGAATGAGTAACTTATTTTTCATGAGTCACAGGTGTATTACTTCATACTGTATGTCAATAGCCCATGTCTATAATGTCTCAACATCGAACGATTAGGAAGGTTACTGTATGTTGCTGAATATTTCTGTCACTGTGTCACCATCCTCGAGATAGAGATCTACAACAGGGTGCCTGTTCGACCCTCATGTCTGGAACCTTTCATTATAACATCAACGTTACAAATCATGCATAGCGTACTGAATAATATGGTTGCTTGCTTCGTACTCAATAAATGAATGTATGTTAGTGCTGAATTAAACAGACATGACTTGGCAAGTCCATGCTGTAGTTGGCAACCAATGGCGTGGATATATTACATATCATTCTTCTTGCACTACATGACAATGTCAGCAGTCACCTGGTGAAGGTCACTCAGGTGTAGCTGTGTAGGTCATTGGATTCAGGTGTGACCTCAGCGCAGGTGTTTGAATTCAGTTTTTGGAAGGGAGTCCTCCCTTCTTGAATGACCTCAACAATGCCATATAATCACCAAAGCGGGGGTAGAGTTTACACAACAAACAGTGACATAGTTTCCAGTTGTTGTCATTCACAACAGTGCTCCCATTCAAAGACCACTACAGGCTTTTTGTGAGTTTATTATGGTTTTACGAGGATTTAGTATGTGACTGAAAGATTCGCCAAAATTATACTTTGGACAGTGTTGTTATCATAATAGCCTAAGCCTTCTATTCTATTGGGAGAGAGCTGCAGTCCACCATGGTTAATTATCACTTTAAAAAGTAATGCTTAACTGGTGGGAGTGTCTAAAAGTTGTGGATTAGCCATTGTCCATGCTGAGAAGTTGTTTAGAAGGAGGCCAGTGGTGGGCATTTCTCCTCTGTGGAGTGAGCCCTACACCTGGTGGGATCCTACTTATACTATACCTGAGACCGTGTTGTACAGGCACAGGTAAACACCACACACACACACATACACACACACAAATGAGATTCCTGACTGTACCCCATTCCCATAAGTGAGGAGTCTGGTGATGGAGAGATGTGAGACTTTTAACAGAGTTAGAAAGATGAATGTCAGGGAATAGTGGCCACAGGGGCAATGAGAGATTTAATGAAGCTGTGCTGCCAGTCAGCCAGTCTGTTAGGTTTACTCTATTACCTCAGCTTCCCTGTCTGTCTGTCATGGCTGGAGGGCAAAACAAAGCCCTGTAAACCATGGCAATGAGAGGAGTCATGCGTCTTCAACGTCTTGACACCTCCAGGAACACCTCCATGTCTTACTCTCAGGCTGTTGAAAGTTCTCATAGTGAGTTTTCTAGTAGTGAAGTCTCCTAGCCTAGAGTATCAGACAACTTCACTGTTTGTAGTTATTTTCTAACTCACTGGTCAGTATAGTTATGTGCTACTGTATCTCTATACCCTTATCCAAATTTGTTGTGTTTGTATGACACAGGCACAGATTCACCTATTTGCCCTCAAGCGAAGCAGTGATGTATCTTCAGTTTCTCTAGTTGAACTGTGTGGATATAATTCACGCT